TGAGTCACCAGGGCACTTCCTGACTCTCACAGGAACACCTTCATTTTGCTCCTTTCATTCTCAATTTCCATAACAACTCACAATGCAAAGCTCAAGCTCAATAGAATAATGATTTATGTGCTCACTGCCATACATATTTTTTAAATTGTGGCCTCTCCTGAAACACCCACATTCACTGGAGAATTTTAAAGAATGTTCTTTAGTGAGAAGTGTGTTCTGAAATGTACTGCAAGTGAACAAATAACACAATCAACATTGCAAGCATTTTACAACCATATGAACATGAAGAACAAGGTTAAATCATATACATGCATATTAGGCTGGCTTTTTCCTGTACCTGTCTCCTCTTATACATTCAGAATCAGTCCTTCTAAATCACTCTTTTTGTCTTTTGGCTATGTTTTATTATTAACTACAAAATTCAATAAACAGAACACTTATATTTCATCGAGAGTCAACATATCGGAACAGAAAAGAAAGAGCAACAAAATATTATGCCTCATATATTTCTGGTTATACGACTAAGTATCATTCCCAATGGAGAAATGTTTCAAAATATCCCTTTACAACACACATCTTGTTCTATCCAATTATACAAAGCTGGCAGCTTGGCTACTTCAGATTTTAGGGGTGAGGGTCAGGACAGGGCAGAGGGAGTTTACAAAATTAAAGTATATTTTTGTAAAAACAAAAAGAAATACGGACATGCATTTCTAATCTACAGAGTCTACTTGCCTTTACAATCTGCTGATACACACTGATTTTTAAACATTGCATATAAAATTAAATAACATAAAAAAATAAATATGGTTTATTACATAAACAAATAGAAATCTGTACTACTTAAAATATTCTGAAAATACTAGGCGTGGCTGCCGGCATTGGAACTTGGAGAGTATGGTGGTGATATGCATAGTCTTTATTTTTTTTTTCTGGAGACAGAGGCAGTGAGGTGATAAAACACTGATGTCAGACAGTTTCTCTTACTCCCTACAGAAGCTGCAAACTTTAATATGAAAATGAGGTAGACACAAATTTGTAAGCTGGCCAGGTAGAAACAAAAGCATAGGTCCTTGGTGAGCCCATAAATTCTCATTATTCAGGTCGACAAGCATTATTCCAAAGCCCTTAAAGCAAGGCTCAGAAGACACGTTCAGGTTTGTCAGGAAAAGACTCACACCCTCCTAAGGAGACCTCAGCCCCAAACCGATTAGCAGCCTGAAACTCGGGGTGACATGGGAGGGAAGGTGACAGAGCCCTCGCGGGTCTATGAAAGCGCCCAGCAGAAGTGTGTCCTTTAATTATCCCAATGCATTGGCTCACTCTTCCCACTTATCCCTCTAGCCACGGGCGGCTGCATCCATTACTCTGCCTGCACCTGAGATGCACGGCAGGAGCTGAAGGAAATGTACAAGGGTTTACGGACCCGATTTCAAAGACAGACGTCCCTTGCAGTCTTCTGAAACTCAGACAGTAGTTTGGCTTAACAAGGAAAAGAAATGTCTGTATTGAGCATTTAGATGCTTTAGATGGGATTAAATTGACAAAAGCAACCAAAGAGCAGGTAGGAAGTTTAGGGAGCAGCAGTTGTTACAGGAACGGAGAGGAATAGTTCAGGAAGAGAGGTTTGCACATATGGGAAAACGTGGTCAAGGCCACCGAATTGTCCATGTAGAAACATTACGCTTTGCTGTGCATGATTTTAATAACAACAAAAGCAAATCTTCAAAAAATCAAACCTTACTAAATAGATACATTTAAAAAGACAATAGAAACGGGGGACAAAGAGGATGTTTGTGACCGTCATGATTTGAAACCTGCAATGACTTGAGCCCCGATTAAAGCACGTAGCTGCATTCTACACCTGCAGAAATACCATTTGAGAGACTCCAGAAGCCATGTGTAGTGCTGTAAGAGTTTCTTTTCTAAAGACTGCTCTTCAGTAACAAGTGTTGGACAAAGCTCTACATTCTGACCTTGGATGAGGTCTGCTTCTGCGGAAGCCAAGCATAGGAATGCTTGGGAGAAAAAGCACCCAGGCTGAGGCTAAGCGCTTCTTTCTTAGAACACGGCACTGGCTTTCTGTTGAGAGCCACATGTTAGCACCTCACATAGAATATTTTCTGTTGTTGTTGCTTTCACTGTCAGCTTAAATGATGAAGCACCAGAGAAGTGTTTTTTTATGGCTGTTAACACAATTCACTGAGGTATGCTTACATTTAGAATTACTAAGAGGTTGGCTCATGAGCTGTAGCAATCAATCTTAGATTAAAATAAAAATCCTATGTGAAGGAGTTGAACGGCTTCCATCTCATACTTACATTTATGGCAAGCAGAGACTATAAATGCCTCTATTTAAAGAAAAGGCTTTTGATGTAGATTTTTTAAAAAATCAGAACTTCAAAACCTTGCAGACTGACCCTACTCCTAGACAGCAGATGCATTTACATACAGATTCAAATAACGATCACTTCACAAAGGAAACATCAACATCACACAGGGAGCAAATGTTTAACACTCCATGTTTGCTTCTGTACATCACTGGACATTCAAATTCTACTCTCTTGTGTGTTTCAGAAAACTGTATACTAACCCCAAGGACAGCTAGACTAAATGAACCTAAGGCCTTCAGTGAAAACAAAAGGAAGCTCACATGTTAAAATTCTAACATTTAACCGAAATGAACTTGTTGCCATGGGGTCAACTCCAGCTGATTAGTGAACCTACAGCACAAAGTAGACATGCTGAATAGGTTGGAATCTTTCAAGGCTGGAATCCTTCCAGAAGCAGCCTGCCACCTTTTTCTCCTGGGAATAGCTGGTGACTTCAACTCATCGACCTTTTGGCTAGCAACCTCGAGCTGTAAGCACTATGCCTGCAGGATGCCTTTCAACCGAAAGGATTCTTAAAATACCTGCTGGGGAGGGTGGTGATCCTGTGTGAAAATCGGAGCTGTTTTTCAAAAGTGTTCAAGCAAGACAATACTGTGGAGAAAGAAATATCTAAACTCAGACAACTATATTCTTTTTTCTTGAAGACAATATTTTCTCAAAGAATATTTCCAAGGGAGAAAAACATGGTATGTTTAACGGAATTATTTGAGTTTGGAAAAGGGAAATAAATATTCTGCTTTTCACCAAACCACAGCAATATGTAAGGAAGAGACTTGGCTTTAGATTCAAGAAACATTTCTTGGTCAAAAGGAAAGAAATACTACTTTTTAGAGAGCTTATAGAGTTTTTGAATGGAGCGATACTCTGGTTTTGGTTATTGTTGTCTGGAAGAATGGGGTGAATATGTAATGACTCAAGAAGGAAAATTTCACAAAGAATAAAACACGGTAGGTGGCTGAGAGAAGGGAGGAATGTCAGAGGATTTTCCTAATATCCCAAGGTTATCTCCGACCTTCTTTAAAATGTTTATTTTGTGAGAGGGTGTCAGTATTGTGGATAGAATCCTCCTAGTGAACTACATATCTGATTGAAAGTTGCATTTCTTAAAACTCTTGAAAGAAATCCATAGCCCAGCTAACTAATGTCACTTAACAGTCTAAATTTGCCTAGATTTCTACTTCATACAAAGTCCAAAGTGTATAGACAATGTTACAGTGACAATCCCAAACATGAAAAGCCTTGACTACTAGAAGCTAGAACAGGCCATTACTCATGCTCTATTCACCAATTTGTTCTTTAGTGGTTTTCAGGCAGTTAAGTCTTTTCTCCAGAAACATACAGAATAAAAAAGATTTCTGGTATGGCTTAATAGACTATGCCTACTCCTCACTCACGAGTTACCTAATTTTCTGGCACTGTTCATTTATGACAATGGTGAAACATCTCCCATTTATTTTGCACATTTACAACATGCATCTGGCTGTAACAAAAGCTGAGGGGTGAGATGAGAGTGACACTGTCTGTGATGGTTAAGCTGATGTGTCAACGTGGCTGGTCATGATTCTCAGTGGCTTGACAGTTAGATGATTATATAACTCGACAGCTATGGAATGATGTAGTCATCCTCCAGCTTGTGATCTGATATGGAGGGTATTTGATATCATCCAGTTTTGTCTGATGCTGATTTTCATGGGCAGGCCTGGACTTTGGACCTAACCATACCAAAAGGTGAAGGGTGCATGTACTAAATTCAGGCTCAGTGCAATTAATGTATTTACATGAACATTCATGCTATTTACACACAATAGTGCTGATGGTCCTACAATTCAGGACACAACTTAGTTTTGACACTGCCAATTCTTCTGTTTGCCAAGACCTAGTCCAGAAGTTTGCATAGTATTTACACTGGCAATTCTGTTTTACAACATCAGTTGCTAACTAAACAGAAAGAAAGTCAAAGACTAAGTAAGACTTTTTAGTAATCTCCGATGGACTTCTTGTCCTGGTAGAGGAGAAAGAATATTTCAGACATGTGGAAAGGCCCTAGGTCAGTAATCCCACTGCTTGCCATTTTCACAATGATTTCAGCCTTTGTGACAACTGTCTTGAGAGCAGTGCTCAGGCGACAAAGAAGAAAATCATAGTCAGTAAAGGAACCATGGCTTTGGCCTCAATAAGCAGATATCTTTTTCCAAAAAGCCCAAACTACCACAGCTTAAGAAAGGCAAGAATGTCTGCTATTGAGTTGTCTGCTGAAATAAATTTGAAGCTTAATAACTACATGAAGTAGGTATTGTGTCTTAAAAATAGGTACGCATATAAAAATATATCATTTCTCCCTACCCGCAGCGTTCTAAGTAAGAAAGCTACTTCATGGCGCTAGGCCCCGGATGAGGTACAGTTATTGAGAAAAGTCACTTTGGGCAAAACAAAAACAATTGAACTCTGCTGTGCATCACCATGATGATGCATCCATTCTAACACAGTTTCAAGAATCTTCCTGTAAGTGCACTAATTATTTGCTACAGAGGAGTGTCCCAGAATACCTCGGAATCAGCATGTTAGTTAGATAGCTTGGTTAACAATCAGTAACAGTTAGGGCCGTACCGAACTCCACGGGCCAATACTCCAGGCGGCATCTTGAGGACAATTATGTGTGTTACACTGCTCGCGGTCCGGAGGTTTGTCAAGAATTTCACAGCTCAAATCTGGAAATCGTTCACCACTGGGCCTCTGACAGACCACCAGTCTTGTCCGTGTTCCTCCACCACACACCTTAGTACACTGGAAAGGGCAAAAAGGAGACTGTGGTTACCCTGAGCAGTCGATGACAAGTTCTTTTTTCTCATAAGAAAAATTTCCTAGAAAAACTCCATTACAGAATGATGCCAAGTAAATCTCTGATGGAAATAACCAAGTTGAATTATCAAAAGTTATGAATGACAGCTCTGGTGGCTTACTGGTAAGGAGTTGTACTGCCAACCCAAAGGCACATTGCTCGAATCCACCAGGCTGCTCTACAGAAGAAAGTGATTTATTGGCTCTGAAAACCCGCTGAAGGATCAGCTACAAGTCAGTTCTGACTTCATAGTACACAACAACAACAACAACAACAACTATCTGTCCAGCCTGCCTTCCTTCCTTCCATTTATCTAACTTTCTATCTCTCTCTCTCTCTCTCTCCATCCATCCATTCATCCACCCACCTACCTACCTATCCGCCAAACAAAACAACCAGTGCCATCAGTTGACCCCCATCTCTACAGAAATGGACCCCCTGAGGGTTTTCATCTGTGGTGGTCTTTGGTTGCAACTAGACTAAGTAAATGTGGTGGCACAGCTGCTAACCGGAAAGCCTGCAGTTGGAACTCACTGAAGCTTCACGTGAGAGCTGTGGCAACCCGCTGCCACAAAGATCACAGTTCTGGAAACTCCACAGGGCAGTTCTTCTCTACTTAAAGTATGAGTCAGAATCAACTCGACAGCACCGGGCTTGGTCTTTGGTTTTAGGGTAAAACCTTTAGGGTTTTTGGTTTTGGTGGTGGTTGTTATCAGGTGTTGTTGGGATGGTTTTTGATCCCTAGTGAACTCTTGTGATACTGTAGTTAAGACGTCAGCGCTAATCAAAGGCTGGTGTTTGGAACACACCAGGGGTCCCTCCATTGCAGGCAGATGAGGCAGTCTGCTTCCTTGCCAGCACAGCATAGGAAACCCTCTAAACAGCATAGGAAACCCTCTAATTGGGAAGTTCTGGTCTGTCCTATATAGGAAATCACTACAAGCCATGATTAACTTGATGCTGTTGTTATGTGCCATCAAGTCACCTGCAACTCACAGCGACCCTATGTTCAACAGCCCTAATCCCCGCTCTATCCTGTGCCAAACTTATTGTCTCTGACATGCCTATCCCTATTACCCAAGTGACTGAATCAATTCATCTCATCGAGGGTCTTTCTCTCCTGCACTGTGCCTCCACCCTCATCTAATAATAAGAATATGGTTATGGCTTTTATTAACTTTTGAGATATTTAAAAAACCACACCAAAACGATTCAATACTAAATAAGGTTAATAATGACTTAGTTGGTCTTTATTTTTTTGGCAACTTCTAAAATCTGTCATCAACCTTTGGCTAGCTTCTGGATCTAATCTCCATAGCCTTTCATGATGTGAACATCATTTATGCTACCCTCATGGCTTAGGACAACTGTGACTACACTAAGATGAATAAACAACTTGGTAGAACATCAGAAGAAGAAAAAAATATTGGCTAATCCCACATTCCAAACAGGAATACGCTGTGTGTTTTGGATGGTGCCACTGTGCTCCCATCCAGGAAGACCGAAATCTACTTTCCCTGATATGTCAAAGCCAGATCTCCCACAGAATTTGGAATGTTCTGTTCTGTGCTGACAGCAAGCTCCAGCGAATGAGAGTACTTTCCTGGCTTGGGTCCTGTTACAGAAGCTTAACCAGAGCCCCATGGGACAGCATCTCTCAGAAGAGGTTTTGGGAAACCCACAGTGCACACGTCTTGAAGCCTGACTCCTCCCCTTCAGCAAAACTCCCCAGGATGACATAACTGTCAATGAAAGTCAACACAATTCTCAGATTCTTACTGCCGATGACTACTGGTTTATGTGTGTGAAATTGTGAAATTGCGAAATTGCAATGTGAGTACAAGGTTTAAGTCAGCCAAGAGGCTGCACTAACATGCCCATCAATCTCCCTTGCTCCTTCTCCCCTCTTGGCACAGGGACCATCAAGATGTTAGTGCTCAAATTTTATTTTATAAATATTTCAGTCTCGAATGAACAACTCCACATGTTAAATAGCTGCTCTCCCTGTGGATTTGAGAGTAGAAAGATGTTCCTGGCTAATTAAACACAAAACAATAAGCATGCAAGCCCTGCACATAATAGGGGCTCAAAGAGCATTGGATAATAATAGTAATAGCAAAGATAGTAGTAAAGACAATCATTATCATTAGTAGTGATTATTATCGTTGTTATAACAGTAGCTAACATCGAAGGTTATGTGTTATGCATTTGACATGCACCACCTCATTTAATGGCCATGAACATCACTGGTGTTAGTGCTATTATTATCCATTTTTTGTAGATGAGGATACAAACGTTTGACAAAGTTACATTATCTGCCAAGGTCACAAGCTGGTAAGAGCCAGCGTTGAATATGTCCTAGTTTTTCCTGCTCCATATAGTCTATTATCTTTTTATGGCCAAAGTAAAGCAAGTACTTCTCACAATGGTGACAGCTGAAGAATTTTCTGCTCTCAGAATATACAGATAATTATCCACTTCTACAGTTAAAGTGCACAATCTTTTACAGGCATAGTAACATTTACTCAGACTTCATTACGGGCATGAAATCCTGAGAAACATGTTATGGGAAGACAGGTACATCACAAGCACACAAAGTTGTGATGAAGATGGTAAGATTTACACAGACTGATTTAACAGACAACTATGTTAACACATAATCACGTCTCAAAAGCCATGTTAAAAACGTTTGTTTTTTTCAACAGCAGAGGTCAAACAATTTAAAGTGCATTTGTCTATATTGTTTCCTAACATCCCTTTGCTATCTCTTAAAGCTGTCTATGATTTTAACATACAAATCTGCCTTTCAGATAGTGGGGGCCCAGTCCTAAGTGACCATAAACAAGCAAATTTCACAGTAAAATGCGCCACACAAAAGGTATTTTTTTTCCCAGAGCATACACACTTCTATACAACAGTTATGTCAATTATACTGTAGTGAAGTATGAAATATTTTGAGAGTTAACAAAATATGACACAGAGGCACCAAGTGAGCACATGCTCTTGGAAGAATAATGCTGACACACTGCTCAATGCAGGGTTGCCACAATCTTTAACGTGGAAAACAACACAGTATGTGCAAAGAGCAATAAAATGAGGTAAGCCAACATTAAACCAGGTCTCCTAGGTAATCCCAAACAAAGACACTTTTACTAGAGCTAGTTCTTCTTGAAAACAATATTATAGTTTGGTCAGCAAAATTATTTTGTGTCGTTTCTAAAAGAAATCCAAATAGGCGGTTGACTCACCTCTCCCCAGTTGCCATAAGCCCACTGAGGACACGGGCCAGATTCACAGGCTCTTTGCTCATCGGGTTTGATTCTTTCCACGCAGTCATTTGCGGTGTATCCGTTTTCATCCTGACACACGACCACACGCCGCTGAGACCCACCAGCACAGGTACTGGAACACTGAACACATAATTTAACAAGTTAACTTCTCTTCTATTTCCACTGTGATAGAAAAGTCAGAGACAAATGTGACAGGAACCGTTCTCTGTGCAAGGTGGATGAGAGGCAGTCATGAGAAGCAGGGCATCCTTCCGCAAGGGTCTTACAGACACATGGAGGCAAGTGAGGTGGATTCTCCAGGCATGCACGGGCCTATAGTTGGTGTTCAACAAACCCTTGTGAGCGAGAAGGCTTCATGACTTCCAAGCAGTCCACTGACCACCCTTTTATCCTCTGCAACTCTGAGAGATACTGAGCTGCAGACTGACGTGCAATTTATTTGAAAATGCCTTTTCTTTTGAAAATTCCAAGTGCTTATTTAGAACTAACATTCTCCTTCCCGTTTATCACAAGGGTCAAATTACACGCTTAATGAATTGCCAGTCAGTCATGGAAACGAAGCTTCTATATTCACTCATTCAATTATCCGAGGAAGGTGGCTTGAATGACATTTAGATATCCTTGGTTGCAGGCCGTATTCCCTTCCCTTACTTTTTAAAAGCTATATATTGGCTGGTCTGATGGTAGAGGGTTTTCAGAAACTATTAACGATAGTGCAACCCAAAGCTATATAACAATGGCAATGGCAGCAAGATTTGTTTGCTTTTTCTACTTGTTTAAAGAATTTAATTGACTCTCACACGGACAAACCTCTCCTGAGACACACTTTCCTCAGATATCACTCCCTCTTGGGGGTGTCTTAGTCGCCTGCATTTCAGTCCGGTTTCCACATGAGATTCTCACAGCTCTCCTATTTATCTACAGCTTGAGTGATTTTCCCTCTTTATAGAATTTAAAGCCCAACATGTTTGCTAATTATCTCTCACTCTGACCCATATACATAAAAACTTCAGTTCACGTAGAAAATTGCCATCTAGTCCTCAATTCTCACCAATTATCAGGCCACGAACTGTGGTGGCAACAGTATTATTGATGCCAGAGTTGATGGCTGTTTTGTGCTTTCTGTCTTGTTCTAGTTCTAACTAGTGTTATTTTACAGTCATTCTCCTGCATCAACGAGATAGGCATTTGCTGATTTGGGTCGGGGGAGAGAGAACAATGAAGTGGTAAAACGAAGGTTTAGTCCACCCAAAAGGGACCTTAGAAGAAAGGCTAAGAGGGGATAAAAAATGTCATTGGTAGTATAAATAATCTAAAGAGGATTTAAAGCTTAAGGGAGGATATATATATTGTTATATACTGTCGAGTAGGAACCAATCCATAGCTGACTCTCTGGAAGATGTCAAAGGCAGTTAACTGCATGAGAGGAGATTGCCCCTCCTTCTCCCATGGGGCAGCTGGTGGCCTCAAACTACGTGCCATCGGGGTTGCAGTGCAGCTTCTTGACACTAGGCCACCAGAGCTCCCTATATGCAAATACAGTGCCCTTTTTACGTAAGGAACTTTAACATCTATGTTGTAGTTGTTGATTGCAAAAGGCCTGAAGCCTTACTCTATTATGGTTTTTCCAGGTTCATAGAGTTTCCAGAGACGTGGTTTAGGAAGTGGATACCACTCCTGCTTCCAAACCTGTATTAAACTGGGAGCTCCACCAAAAACTGTCCACCATGGGCAGCCATTATGGCATTTGACCCCCAATGGTCCAAGGTTCAGTTTCATAGCAAACCCAGATTATCTTAGTACAGCAAATTGACAGAAGAGTGCTGTACAACTTAGAAGAATGTTTCTCTGAAATTAAATAACAATGGCAATAGGCCCTCGGGCCCACTGACATATAAATACAAGGGCCATCCTAGAGTTTCTAGAGGCACGTGGTTTACAAAGTGGATGCCACTCCTGCTTCCAAACCTGAATCAGCCTGGGAGCTCCACCAAACACTGCTCATGATGAGTAGCTAATTACAGTGTTTGTTGATCATTGTAGCAAGTCCAAGTTACTTCAGTAGAGCAACAGACAGACACTGCTGTATCACTTAAAAGAATGTTCATCCCAAAATAAATCCCTAATGTGACCCTCTGGAAGGTGTGAGGATCCATCAGCCAGCATAAAACCAATTCACAACAGCCAACAGCCTGCAGACGTAGCCAGGCATTACTGCCTTTTTAAATTCCGACACGCCCAAATGCTAGTGGATGATGAACTAGAGACCCCTAAGCAATCTGGCAAGTCCAATCCACTGACACTCACTTGGGGTGAAAATAAAACCAAAAGAACCCCTGAAAGTTCCTTACGTGACCTGACATACATGGAGCAGTAAGTAATTAAGGGATATTCCTTTAGGGAGTGTCTGTGTTCGTGAATCCTTTCTAGGCGTGAGAATCCATCAGCCAGCATAAAACCAATTCATAATTGACAACAGTCTACAGATGTAGCCAGGCATTACGGCCTTTTAAAACAGATTATGGTATCTATAACAGGTATTGGGGTGTGGTGTTCAGTCCTTAGAATCAATTCCTGGGAGGACAGCAATGGGCTCAGGTGTGTCAGAGATGATGAGGATGGCACAGGACAGGGCAGGGTTCAGATCACTGTGAATTACTCACTAGGAATGACTCGGAGTCACTCTGAGCTATATACGACTCGATGGCACCTAACAAAAATAAACAGTTTAAAGTAGCCCTTAGGAGATGTTAGAAATAACTGGGTGGTACATTTCATTTAATTAGCTAATAAGTGAAAAGTTGGAAGAGTTGTATCCACTCCCAGAGGAACTTCAGAAGAAAGGCCTGGTGATCTCTGTCCAATAAATCAGCTATTGAAACCCCACGGTGCAGTTCTGTGGACACAAATGGGGTTGCCATGAATCAGTCTACTCAATGGCAACTGATACAGATGCTAAGTACCAATGTGGTAATTTTCCATTGGGTTTAGTTTTGTAAATATAGATTTATTAATTTTCAGAAAACATTTAGATGTTTTTCTATTTATAATAACTCTAGTGTTATTTTCTGAAGGGTTCTAGAATATTTCTTCTCAATTTAAAAACATATTTCTTATTTTGAAACATCTTCATATATAATTTTTTAAAAATCACCAAGAACTTTATCACTTTACTTAGTTTGGGGATCATAATGTAAAATGTTAGAAAATGCCCTACGTGTTGTAAAAAAAAAGATTAATAATGTATATTTAGGGAGCTTTGGTGGCCTCGTGATAAGAAGCTGTGCTGCAATCCCAAAGGCACACAGTTCAAATCCACCAGCTGCTCCTTGGGGGAAGATGGGCAATCTCCTCTCACAGCCTCCGAAAACGTGCTGGAGGGCCAGCTATGGGTCGGTGCCCACTGGATGGTACATTACTGTAATCATCATCATCACACTAAGGTTTTCTCCCTGATAATTTTTATTTTATTTTATTATTTTATGTGTGTGTGCACTGTCAAATCAGATCTGACTGGTACAGGAGGAGATTGTTCCTCCTTCTCCAGCAGAGCATCTGGTGGATTTGAACTGTGCACCTCTGGGATTGTAGTACATCTTCTTGCCATTCTTCCGGATAATTTAGTTTTGTATGATTCCTTATGAGTTCTGTTGCTCTAATTTAAAACAAACAACCCAACCAGTAAGTTTTTTGAGGGCGAGCCCATGTCATAACTTATGCTTATGCACCTGGAGCCCCCATCACAGTGCTCACAGGACTAACTGCCCAGACCAATCACAACTCTTGGAGGAAATATAAACCTCGCGCTCAACTGCCTGGATAGTTGTCTGGAACAAGGTGGCACATTTGACCAAAGGCTTTCAAACTGATTGGCTGTCCAGTGACCTATCAGCTGCTTTCCACAGACTCTGCCTCTTTTCTTGTCTGCCTAACATGTTGTTGTTGTTGTTGTTGTTATGTGCCATCGAGTTGCTTGTGACTCATAGCGACCCTATGTACAACAGCCCTAAACTCTGCTCTGTCCTGTGCCAATCGCACGGTCTCCGATACACCCATCCCGATTACCCCAGTCACTGAATCAATCCACCTCATAGAGGGCCTTCCTCTCCTGCGCTGTCCCTCCACCCTCCCAAGCATGATGTCCTTCTCCAAGGACTGGTCTCTCCTCACAACATGTCCAAAGTATGTTAGACGGAGCCTCAGAATCCTTGCCTCCAAGGAGCCACCCAGTTTAACCCTTTCCAGGACAAATCTGTTTGTTTTCCTAGCAGTCCATGCCTAACATACCTCCCCTTATCTTATGGTGCTAATATCAGCCCAGTTTTCCTTTGGCAGCTAATTCTCCCCAGTGGAAGGCATCCTGGCACAACCACCCATCAGGATGCTCTGCCCTACTCTGGCCAAGGGGTGCACAAAAGGCCAAGGCTGGGTCAACCAGGCTTTCCTGGGAATTTAAGTCCTAAGCATAGCAATTAAAGCATGGAGCAAACCTGGAAAGGATTCATGAACACAGACACTCCCTAAAGGAATATCCCTTAATTACTTACTGCTCCATGTATGTCAGGCATCCCAACAGCCAGGTCCAGACAGTAGCCTGTTTTTGTGAAAGAATCTTACTGGGACACTGTTATGCCCTTCTTCTATTGCATATGGCTGCTTTCCTGCTACAACATAGGTGAGTATATGTAACATGATACCCTGTGGGCCATAAAGCCAAAAATATTTATTATCTGGCTGGCCCTTTGCAGGGGAAAAATGTGGACTCTGGATCGGGATGGCGGAAGATGTTCTGGTTTCTGTTCTTTCTAGGACTAAATGAAGAATGCTGTTTGGTTTTTTTTTTGGACTTACTTGAAAAGTCATTTATTTCATTTGTAACCAGGGACTCTTAAGTGGCACACACAGAAAACCTCACACAAGCTTTAAATTTATGCAGAAATCAACTATTAAATGATGTCATGACTCCAGAATCCACAGAAAGTTGTATATTCTCCTTCTGGAGCGCTTCTAACTCTGCTGACTTTTCCGCCACAGAAGTAGGAAGCCCGTGTCCAGGTGCACAGCGCGGACACTGCACAAGGCAAAGATGCACGTTCATCCTGTCCACTCCTTTGCAGGAATCCTAGGAGGGAGCCAGACTCATCCAGCTAGAGCTAAAAGTCACCCTGCCAAGCTTCAACTTCACAATTTTAGAGAAAAAAAATATCCAAAAGCAACAAACAAAAACAGGCTCATGGAGACAAAGAATGGTCTCCCTCAATGCTGCAAAAAGGTTATTCAATCCCCTCTAATTGGGAACTGTGCCTGGAGGCAGAATTATTCAATCTTAAAAGAATCCATCATCTTCCAAAAGTAGCGCTAAATAAGAATAGCTTTAATCACCCCCACCCCCAATTCTAGTGTTGTCATTAACATTCACATGCATGCATTTTGAATTTTTCAAACAGGAAAAACCATGAGACACTCAGTGATTACATCCCTTAATCACCATTTAATTTTTCAGAATGGAGCCGTCTTATAATCCAGGGAAAAGAAGCAGGCGAAGCAAGTGAGAGGATGGGTTGCAGAGCAAACGGCAGCTGTTCTGCACGGAACTGACACTTGCAGTGGGAGAAGATGCTTAGTGGTTAGAAGTATTCACAAAAAACTAAATCTAATTTACTAAAACATAACCACGCTGGGACACAGACAGCTTCCTTCTAATGCTTCTCAGTCCAGAAATAATGGAACATCATTAGCAGTACTAGAAGGAAACTAATAGTACACGGTTAAACAGAAGACCCAGCGTACTTAGCGAACAAACCAACCACATGTTGACCCAGGGTCTATTACCATCTCCCTCTCATGTAGTTCTTGCTCATATATCCTGTACTGCACATTATAATCAGTTTTGGGGACACTCTCAGTAAAGTAATTCTAACATTAAAAGCACATTGTCTGCGATAACAAATAATTTGTGGTTTTGTTAATTGGAAGGAAGTGACATTGATAATAATGAAGACAGCTGCTGATGGTGATGAAATCCTGATTCTGTGTCAGGCACAGTACAAAGCACTTTCCTTGTTTCATCTCATTTATCTCTTACAACCACCTGGGCAGGTAGGAGTTATTGCGACCCTCATTTTACAGATGGTGAGAAGGAGGGTCAAAGAGGAGAGGTGATGTTGGCAAGGCCCAAACGTTTCCAAGTGTAAGGACTTGGCCCAAGCCCTAGGATCTTCCTGCAGAGCCAAGGTGGACAGTCTATAGGTTATGGCGTCTTTCCCTAAGCAGCAATCTTACCCACACTTAGCATTTCCTCCCCAAATCCCAGCCAATGATCTATGACCACACTGTCTTTTCTTAATCACCCTTCTTGGAAAATTTCCTCTGTCCTCTTCTTAATTTCCCTACAGACATGAGCTACCTGTTGCATGAGATCAATCAGTTACATCCAGGGATCTACCAGGGCATCAGTCATACACAGACACAGCACCATGACATCTCTAGGCCTCAAAGTGAGTGTTGTTGTTGTGTGCCATCAAGTCAAAACCAACTTATAACTGACCCTCCAGTGGGTTTGCTGAGGCAGTTAATCACACCGGGCACAATTGTGCATTTTTTCTGTCATGAGGAAGCTGGTGGATTTGAACCTCGTGCCTTTGGGATTGTAGTAAGATCCTTACTACCAGGCCACCAGTGCTTTCTAAGGCAGTGTATGTTGTGGCTGTGTACCTTCAAGTCAGAACTGACCCACAGCTGACTCATCAGCAGGTTTTCAAAGGCATAGGAGGAGACTGCCTATTCTTCTCCCAGAATATAGGGAGTGAACAGGTGCATGCAAACGGTGTTCTGTGGCTTCTTTTTCAGGAACTGCAATGAACGTGTTATAATTTATCCCAAACAAACATGGCCAATGTCTGCCCTCTGGGACATAAAGATCAATAATCCAAAGGCATTTCCAGTGTAATTTGCCCACATCCCATTTCAAATGAAAGAGAAGAAAGTAAAAGCAGGAAAGACTTCAGAGAATACTCACTGCTCCCCAGGGACCAGTCCTCCACTGGTTCCCCCCAAGCACATGCGTGCGGCTTGGGTTCACGCTCCTTGGCCGGTAATCCTCATTTTGGAAAGGGTTCTGAGCTAGGCTGCCGTCTGGGACCTGCTGAGGGCACGGTGCCATGGAGCAGTCCCGGTGGGTTTCTGGGACATAATCCTGGTCGCACTCGCTGTGATCGATCACATGGTCACTGTAGTTGACACACACCACCTGCCGCGTTGCCCTACCTTGCCCACAAGTCACGGAGCACTACATTGGACATAAAGAGAGAGAAAAGGTTGATGGGGAGAAATTCATGATTGTGTAATTGCATCAGATAGACCACCATTCACCCACTTAGCAGGCCAAAAAGTCTGTACGTGCTCTGTTCCAACACCAAAACCAATTCATTAAGAAACACTGGCAGTTCAGGGTTCAACGTTCCCAATCCAGTTATTCTCACAGTCTCTCCCTTCACCCTCCTACTCTAAACCATCGTATTTTTTTGCTGGTTCCCCTGCTGTGGGCTTGGGTTAGGCTCTGTACAAGGCTGTTGTCTAAAGATCAGGAAACACATCCTCTAAAAAACAAAGCTTCATGTCACTCCCTCCAATAATTTCCTAATTCAAGACAAAATAAGGTCTCAAGTCTTTCCTTAACCTACTCAGACCCTTTATAATACATATAACCTTTGGCTACGTCTTACCACTCTGCTCATTGTACAGACGGATGTTTCTCATGCTGCCAAGGACACTCCTATCTTAGTGGCTTTGTACCTGCTGTGCTGTTAGGTGTACCACCAGGGCGCTCACATGGCCCACTCCCATACTCTCTTCAGGTTAAGCTCAATGTCAGGCCTTTCCAGACCATCCTATCTAAAAGTGCATCCCATCTTCTTCCATGCCGTCACTGTGCTGGACTTCTTTCTCATTGCTATCAGTGTCTGCTGCTATACCTTCTTGCTTATTTAGTTGTTTGTTCACTAAATGGATTCTCCATTAGAACGATCTCTAAGGAGGCAGAGAATGTATTATTCATTGTTCTTTGAACAGTAACCTACTGCCATTGAATTGATCTCTGCTCAGAGACTCTGCAGGCCAGAGCAGACCTACCCCATAGGGTCTCTGAGGCCAGAGGTCTCTGTAGGAGCAGCCTGCTTCCTCTTTCTCCCTCCGAGTGGCTGACGGGTTTGAACCGCCTACCTTTAGTTAGGTAGGACTTAACCTGTGACACCTGGGCTCCTTTCTACTGTGGACTTTAATGACCATCTGGTAACTAGACAAGCAGCAGAAGGATGAATCATTGTTTAAATGCTCAAGGCATGAGAGTGAGATTATTATTTACCGAGCACCTACTTTCAAATTTACGTGTGTGTGTGTGTGTGTGTGTGTGTGCGTATGTATATATGTAATAGTATTTATTCTGATATTAATCTCCATTTTCTTGTTCTCTCCTCATTCATCCCCAGCTTTGTCCTTCCTGTACTCTGGGAAGTTTGCAAAGCAGAGAGTAAAAGCTTCCTGAAGATAAGTCTTTCTGCTTTGATAAAAACCCATCTTTGTTTTAAAGGTAATGAAGAGCATCACAGAAAGCAGAGCAGGAGAAGGAGAATGGTGGGTAAGAGATGAGGTATTTGGCTGGAGTGGGAAGAAGACAAAGGCTGGTGACTTCCAGAAAGGAGGGACAATGCCCAAAGGGACAGTGAGACCCTACAGGAGGACAGTACTCGGTGTGAACACAGCTGGATCTACAGCAGCACATGAAGTCTTACTTCTTACTCGTGAGGGGATCCAGGAGCCTCTCAATTTCAGGGAGTCAAGCCCAAACCAAGCTCCTGTCAGGAAGCTGATTCCAACCCAACAACCTTACAGAACAGAGAACTGCCCGTGAGTTTTCAAAGCTCTATGTGTTTATGGAAACGGACTGTATCTTTCTCCTGCAGAGTGTCTGGTGGGTTCAAACAGCCAATCTCTGGATCAGCAACCTAATGCTTTAACCAATGCGCCACTAGAACACCTTTCAAAGGGTCAGAGGAACTCCGAAATGAGGATCATAGGAGGCACTCGGACCCAAGATAGGTCCATTCCTCACCACTTCCTCACTTTGGGGTGTTCTACAAGCCTTCTGGATTCTGACATGAGGCAAGAGAGGGATTTCCAAGGAGATAAAAAGAATGGGCCTCATGTCAATTTACACATCTCTTCAAAACACGTCATGCATTGCATACCTAAGATTTATATCAGTTCCTCATAAACTGAGCCAAAAAACTAAAATCAAAATCTACTCTGAAAATTACACTGATAATGCAAACTCCCACTAATTGTTCTTCCAAATAGCCCCCTCAATCCCCAAGCTCCCAGGTCACTTACAGAGCTCCAGTCCAAAGCCTTCCACTGCCCACAAGGGGCCACTGAGCAGTCTTCCTTGGCCAGCGGCCTTGGCAGGGTGCCACAGGCGCTCTCGTCGGCCACGGAGCCATCCTCATCCCGGCAGCTGACGTATCTCATCCGGGTTCCCTTTCCACAAGTGGCTGAGCACTGGGTATTGGGAGAAATGAACACAAATTAATTATTATTTGAATATACAGGCTGATAAATTATTTGAATATATATATGCAGATACATTATTTGAAACAGTCAAATGCTTGACAGTAATCCATTTTCTATACTCATGTCAGAGACCCCCTGCCTCCCCTCTTCTCCCTCTCTATTTCTTCCATTCTAGTTCTTACTGGAGTCCAAGACCCAAATCGCCACTGGGTCCTTGGTCCACTGTGTATGCTTCTCCCTGTTTCCGGGGCAGCTGGGGGAGGGCGACAAGAAGGCAATTCACAGTCCTGGAAGTGAGAAGGGAAAAAAGAAGCCAAAGTTACCAATGCACTTTTCATTGGTCATGGTACATAAACCCATAGAGAAGAAGACTCCAAAGACAAAGACCCCAGAAGTCTGTGATTCTGGGGAAGTCACATGACAGCTCTACTTACAACTTTTCCCCACTTTAAAAAAGGTGAGGAATGAGTAGAATCTTTTGTGAAAAACAATGTATTCAAACTTTGTACATAAATCAGAGTAACATGAAAATATTTTAAAAAATTAAAAACAAAGCAGGATCTAATGTGAGATTTTTTATGAGTGCCTTTGTATGAGGTGGGTGTCTATTTACTGAATTACAAGAATGTTTTTATCTACTTGTTTTTTATTTTGGTATATATCTTGTAAAATTTTTATTATATACTGCTTTACTTATGAATGTTTTGTATACATTGTTTGTCACACCGGGTCTTTCCACTTTCCTTTACCCATCCCACTCCTCTCCCCATCAAAATGTGTAACCCTATGATTAAGTCTCCCTCCCCCTGCTCATCCTCACCCCACTCTTCCCTCAGCCCTTGGATCCTCGTACATGTTCTACAATAGTGGTTTTATACAGTATTTGTCCTTAAGAGACTGAGCTATTTCCCTTAGCATAATGCTCTCCAGTCCTCCCCAAGTTATGTCGTGATTTACAAAACCATTTGCTCCTGGTATCCACCTGTTCTTGTGGAAAGAGAAAAAAAAATACTACAGAATGGCATGTAAGTTGGTAAAAAGGTGGTTATCATTTTACAATTATTAACTTTAATTCTTCTAAATCCTGAGGGCCAAATTCTGTCCTCACATTTCAATTAGTTTCCTAATTTGATTTTGCTAATTATGAATTTTTTTATGTTTATATAAAGATAGCTCTGGAGACCCTGAAGGTCATGTCTAGTTAGATGAGGAAGATTCAATGCAACAATGCCTAGAATCTATGAACTACTACAACTTCCCAGAGGCAGTTCTTAGGATCAATTGAGATCATTCTGTGTAGATAATCTTCCCGTGTTTACAGAGGAGAAAACAAATTATCCCCATGCTGCATCCATGGGAACATTCTCTGTATTGCTTTAGTGCACCATCAAGTCAGAACTGACTCACTTCAGAAGACAACCCTTCAGCAGGTTTTCAGAGGCAATAAATTGCACAGGAGGAGACTGCCCATCTTTCTCCTCCAGAGCAGTTGGTGGTTTTGAAGTGTGCATCTTTGCATTGCAGCACAATTCCTGACCACTATGCAACCAGAGCTCTGTAGTCAAAAGTATATTATGGGACAATTTAAAGGGAAATATGGATTTTGAGTTTTTGCTCTTTAGGATAATAACTCCTGGATCCATGACTATTATACACGTACTGGCTAATAGTTCCCAGATTTTGTCAAACCGAGCATCAGAACATGTTGATAAAAAAGTAAAAATAAAGATGACATAAGTCAAAAGTATTGTCTGGTTAACTGATCAACAATTGACAGCAACAGTCACAGGCACTTACTTTTCTGACATGTTGAAGTGTACCAAACTAAAGGAGCTCAGAATGCAGGCAGCACTTGACCATAAAGGGTTTAGAGTCCGCTCTGGGCATAGGCAAGATTCAAACCCCATTTTCAACCACCAGCGAGGCTGGAAGTAAAGCCCCTGCCTACACTTAATACACGTCAAGCCAAAATTGAAGGCTCAGTGCGATGTGCTCAGAAAATGTGTATGTACACTCACACATGTATCAGACACACATACATAAACATGTATATGTACATACAAACACACACACACACACACACACACACACACACACACAAACTCATTACTGTCAAATCAGAACTCATTGTATCACTGACTATCTAAGAGGTTTCTGAGATATAAATTGAATGGGAAAAGATTGCTCATCTTACTCCTGCAGAACAGCTGGTGCATTTGAACAAGCCTAGGCCACCAGAGACACTACATGTATGTACACACATGTTCATTTTAAAGTTTGCTGACAGGATGTGTAATGCCTAATCTACAAGTAAAAAAATACACTTCTTTACTGTAAACCTCATATAGCCTATTGATTCTCAGCGAACACTTAGGTTGAATTTTGCTGAGCTCTTGGAATCTGTGGCTAAACTAGGATTTTAACTGCTGGCTGAGTATAATATCGACATAAATGTTATTTGATACTTTTGCTTATACTTAAGTGTAACTTAAAAGTGACATATGCCCAAATACTCATTCACCAATGACATGAAGGATTTCTCCACTGAATCATATAATACTTTCTGAGTTCCAAAAAAAATTTCTTCAATTTTTGTGCTATTCACAACATAAAGCTATAGACATGAGATTTTGAAAAGTTTAATCTATATAATTAGCATTTTATCTATCATTTTCTCTACTCACTCAACAGGACAATAAAATATGCTCTCAACCATAGCATTTACTGCTTGTTTCAACATGATCAGTTTCTAACTACTAACAAAATGTCCTTGGACACAAGTTTAGAAACAGTGTGCAGTGTCACCCACTAGAAAGCATTTTCGTGATAGAGATACAGCAAGAATAAATAAACTTCAAAAGTCTACATAAAAGCAAGTGGTAAATTTTACGTAGTTATCTTAGTTTTTAAATATAATTCATTGAATTAAATTTTCATATTTTGACTAATTTTTTTATTATACTTTCTTTATTTCAGTAGTTAACTTTTTTTGTTGTTGTTGTTGTGTACCATCGAACTGGATCTGACTTGCAGAGGAGGAAGCTGCTCCTCTTTCTCCAGTGGAGCATCTGGTGGATTTGAACCACACACCTTTGGGATTGACTAATTTTTTAATAATTGCTTGTGTAATAATCAGCTTATATAATATCATGTACTTTACCAACAGGCTTTTCCCCCCCTTAATTTGTGAGGTAGTATAAACCAGTGATAACATACATATAAAATCCTTGACTAAATCTACAAATTAAAGCAAACAACAAAAAGAGCCTAAACAACTACCATTTGCCATTCTGTATGTGTTAGAATACAAGGGAGTTCTGATGGTTTGTTGTTGTATGGTGTGGAGTCAGAATTAACCCTCCAGTGGGTTTTCAGAGGTGGGTTTAAATCACACAGGAGAAGGTTTCCCATCTTTCTCCCACAAAGCAGCTGGTAGATTTGAACTATGTGCCTTTGGGACTGCAGCACATCTTCTTACCACTTGGCCACCACAACTCCCTGGTGGCTTGTTGTTGTTTTGTGCCATTTTGTTTGAACTAGCCCATAGCTGTTCGTCCAGTGGTTTTCAAAGGCAGTACAAATTGCACAGGAGTGCCCTTCCTTCTCCTGCGGATTAGCTGGTGGTCTTGAACCACCTGCCTTTGGGATTACAGCACAATTTTCTATCATGAGGCCATCAGAGCCCCCTAGTGGCTTAGTGGTAAGGAACTGCACTGCCAATGCAGAGGTACTAAGTTTGAATCCACCAACTGCTGTGTGGAAGAGGCATGGACAATCTTTTCTCATATGATTTACTACCTCTAAAAACTCATGAGAGAGTTACCTATGAATCAGTTCTAACTTGATAGTACACAACAAATATATATATCTGTGAAAGAACTTAAATTTTGATGAACTGCTAGGAAATCTTGTCATCTCAGAGCCCAAAGCCAGTAACTGACTTGAGTAAAGGAGACTTGCCTGGGTATCAGTTGGTCTGGTTGCTGCATTGCAATCATTGTCATCTACCACTGACATGTAAGTCCCCATGATGCATTTCACTATTCTTAGTTGGTAGCCTTGTCCACAAGTGACACTGCACTGGAGTAAAGAAAGAAAAGTACAATTATATACAGCAAACCTCAGGGTCCACCCTTCCATTCCCCATAGCAATCTGCAAGAGAAAATATTGTCCATCGCAGTGGGCTAGAGTGCTGGAATCTTATGAGCCAAAAGTAGACAATCCTGCCCTATACAGACTATGCTCACCAAATAGCATGTTTAGTAAACGTTGTACAAAGGTTCAACCCTGTGGCTGCAAACCTTTTGGAGGGTAAGAGTGTATGGCCATCAAATGTGCAACTTGTGCATAATACCTAGCACAGCACCATGACTAAAACTGGTATTTAATACTTACTAGGACTTGGGAAATCTATCTGAAGGAGGTAATCAGTATTTGCATCAATACTTTTGCACAGGGATGCTCTGTGCATGTATTAGAAACTACTTATGTGCACAACAATCAAGAGTTAGTTAATTAATTATTCATTTAATACAGGTACTAAAGAAGGCAATGTAACTATTAAAAGCCAAAGTAACAGTGGAGAAGATCTAAATAGGGGGTCTCATACTCCCCCATCTCAAAGCACACAATATATAGTTTCAGTACTCAAATATAGACTCAGAAAATGAGTGGAACGGACTTGAGAACCCACAAATAAGTCCATCCATTCCTGGATGACTAAACTTCGACAAGAGGTCAAAGACTATTCAACAGTGAAGGAATTGTCTCTTAAACAAATGGTGCTGGCAAAATTGGATATTCATTTGTAGACATGACTCATTCTCATTCTATACACAAAACCAACTCAATAATGAGGTTTTATTATAGGGTGATAAAACAGTTTGGAACTAGAGGTGGTGGTTGTACAGCATGATGAAAGTACTAAATATCAACAAACTGTTCACTTTCAGATGGTGTATATGTTTTATGAATTTCATGCCTGTGTCCCTTTGGCTTAAAACTGTGGCCTGAAAACACAAATGATAAGTAAACAAACAGACAAACAAAAGAACAATAGGAAACATGTAAAACAATGCTCACACCAGTCATCTCTACAGCACCGGGGTAGGAATGTGGTTTTCTTTGTTTGCTTCACTTAATTACATTTTTTATTTGTTTTCCAAATTTATTTAAGGAATATCCATTGTCCTTAAAAATATTTTATAATATTACAATTTATATATTAGAAAACCATGTGTGAAATAGTGGTGATGGTTGTACATCATGATGATTGGGATTACTATCACCGGGTTACACCCATAAAAACTATTCTGTTAGCAAGTCATTGCTAATAAAAATCAGTTTCCTTAGATTGTACATGTAAAAACTGTTATATCTCATTTTACGACAATAAAAACTTAAAGAAAAACACTTCCTTGTATTGCAAGTTTAATCAGAAGAGCAAGACATCTTTAGACATGTTTTTATGTTGTTAGATGCCGTCGAGTTGTGTACGACCCAGAGCAACCCTCTGAACAACAGATCTGAACTCCATTCTATCCTGCACCATCCTCATCACCCCTGACACACTTGATCCTATTGCTGCAGTCACTATCTTTCCAAATATGATGGCCCTTTCCAAGAAGTAGCCTCTCCTAACAACATGCACAAAGTATGTAAGACAAAGCTTCATCTTTGCCTCTAAGAAGCACTCTGGTTGTATTTTCTCCAAGATGTATGTTTGTTCATTTGGCATTCTATGGGATATCCAATACTATTCTCCAAAGAGCACAACTCAAAGGTATCCTTATTCCCTGTCCTGTTCTCAGATGCACAGGAAGTGACTGGAAAGAACAGTTTGTATCATGTGTACCTTAGTCTTTAACTGACACCTATGTTCTCCCCTGACGGCAGACTTTCCCAGTGCTACATGTCTCCTGACTGACCGCTGGTACCAAGGGTGTTGACTGTGGATTCAAGTAAGAAGAAATCATTGAAAATTTCAATCTTTAGACATAATAAATTGGCTAAAACTGGCCTAGTATTGTTGTGTACTGATGAGTCAGAACCAAACCATAGCTGACCCTTCAGTAAATTTTCAGAGGCAGTAAATTTCACAGGAGGAGACTACTCATCTTTCTCCCACAGAGCAGCTGTGGATTTGAATCATATACCTTTGCGTTGCCAGCACAATTCATTACCACTAAGCCACATGTGCATAACAATGAAGAGTTAGTTAATTAATCATTAATTTAATACAGGTACTACAGAAGACAACATAGCTATTAAAAGTAAAAGTAACATTGGAGAAAATCTAAAAAGGGGGGGCTTCTTTAGTATAGAGCTTCTTACTATAGACATGGGTAAAAAATAGGCTTATCAGTTCAAACAGGTACTAGATCACAAGTCATACAGTGACCCTGCAGTATGCCCTCTTCTTTTACTTATATCCTGAAACGTATCTGCTGTCAAGGACCTTTTCCAAAGTGTTAAAGACCAAGGATGTTGGTTTAAAGATTAAGGAGCATCAGTTATGATATTTTCATTTGCTTCCTATGCAGCTGAAGGTTGGACATATAAGGATGACAGAAGAACTGACGCCTTTGAATTGTGGTAGTGGGTAGGGCTCCTGAGCTTCACATGGACTGCCAAAAGAACAAATAAGTCTATACTGGAGGAGGTCTACCAGGATAAGCATGGCATGTTGTCAGGAGGGACTAGTCCTTGGAAAAAGACACCCTCATGGCAAAGGTGGAAGGTCAGAGAGAGAGGAAAACCTTCACTATGATAAATTGACATGATGATTATAACAACAAGTTCAAATGTGTTGAAGATTGTGAGAATGGCACAGGCTAGGACAAGGTTCCAACAGTTCATAGGGTCTCTAGGAGTCATAGTGGACGACAGGGCATCTATCAACATCAGCAGCACCTAGCAGATGCAGGGCAAGGATGCAGGACTTAGCTGTGCACATGGATTCTGTTTACTTGGCTGTTTACCTTACTGCAACAGCCTTGCAATAGAAAACCCACAGCTCTTTACTAGTATTTTTAAAGCAGAAGTCTCCTTTTCTAGAAGGACAGTTAAAAGGGACCACTTTATCAGATTGGAGCGGTTTATCCTCTTAGCTCACAAGGACAACTTTGGGAAGACCTCCTTATCAAGCCCCAGAGGATTTGGGCAATCCTTTATTAACAGCGGAGGAGGTTTCCACGCAGCAATCTATAGCTGAGTGTCACTCCCTTCTATTAACATAATAATAAGACCATCTTGTGTCAGTGGCAGCCTTTTCAGTGAATAGGAAGGAAAACTTACTCTATTGCTGCTCAGCTGGTTCTGAATCATAAACTTTCCTATTTTCCAGTTTCTCTTTTCTTCTTTACATGATGTGCTAAGTCAAATTGCCATCTTCTAAGACAGTTCAGACCAAGAAGGGCAGCATCCAGCTAATGCAGGCACCACAAGGTCCAGCACACGTCCCGCATGAGGAGTGTCAGTGCCCCCAGGTGCTCGCTCCTAACAACCTTTAACTCTGCTAAGAGCTTGCAGGTGCCATGCAGTGACACCTGTGTGACCTGTATGTGGTTTCAGTGACCCTTGTATGGCTAGCGGGCAGTCATCCTGACAGAGGAAAATTTACCATGCCCTGTGATGACTACACAGCCATTGTGGGGGTCAGCAATGCACCCACTGATTTGCATAATCTCCAGTTCTAAGGAGACAGGGCAAGGTTTCAATCTGTTGTTCAAAGTGCCGGGTCACTCTGAGTCATTCTCAGACTTGAGGGCATCTAACTTCTCTTCTAAACGTAAACTCATCTTTCCCTCCTAAAGTGCTGAGTAAACAAGAGTTCTTCTCTAAGCCCTTCACCTCGCCTCCAGATATCCTCTCATAACCTTCCCTTGCTAAGACAGATTTGGTGTGTGCACACCTCTGTCTCCTACACGCTAGCTCATGTAAGAAAACTTGGGCTCTTTTCTACTCCAACCTCTGTCTCCAAGACTGGCTTTCCCAGCAGCAGGTGGCAGAACCGTGTTTGCCTGGTTCACCCACCATTCTGATCGGGGATGGTGGGTATGGGGAACAGCGTCAGTGTGAATGGTCGACACGGAATGGTGCCGTGGCAAGGGTGCTCATTTACCGCGTGCATTCTGGAGATGAAGACACAGGCTAATGGACTGAAGGAGTTGTGGTTGGTCAGAGTGGAGGGAGGCCATCCTTCAAGAGATGACTAAGTGACAGCAGACAGCTGCTCTGCTTCTCTGGGGAGCTGCGTGTGCTACTTAAATAGTGCTGGGAAAGCCGCCTCTTCTATATTAGGAAAGGCTTACTCCTGAGAGTTGTGACTTCTCTGAGCAAACATAGGAGAGACTTTCACGCTCTCCTTTTGGGGGGAGGCATTGCATAACAATGAAAGAGATTTTCTTTCTTTTCAAGGAGAAGAGTGAATTGGGGGGAGGGAAGTGGGCAGGGAGAAAAGTGCAACAGTGAGTGACTGGAAACCCTAAGTCTCTGTAAGTTTTCATTAAAATTAATTTAAAAAAAAAGGAAGGCTCAAGCTAAGGCTGTGCCACCAACAGCCTGGATGGCATAGAAACGGTTCTTTCAAAGTGAAAATTCTGCAACGTTTCATCTCACAAATTGTGTGGGAGATTTTGACACAGTTGATGGAGCCACAGAGGTGAGCTTTTGAGCTGGCAGTTGGAAGCCAAAACATGTCTCCTGTGTCCCAGTCCAGGCTCTCCCATCAAAGAAAGGCTGGCACTGGATCACATTTTGCAACTGACGAACAGCTGGAAGATAACATCAGCCAGACATGAAATCTGTCGTGGTCCAAATGTTCGTGTGCTCGAGCTACAATTTTAAGTCCAAAAGCACGGACATGTGTGTGGGATTGCAAATAGATAATCAATCCCAGGAGGGCAGGGGGCAGCCTCGGGAGGTGAACAAAGCAGCTGGCCACTCCTGGGAGCTGGAGCCAGCCTCACAGAGGTCCCACACACAGCACAGAGGTTAGGGCCTGGGTTAAATCCCACCACTGGAATGCCCCTCTCCACACTCGCTCCAGATAAGAAGGCAAGAATGTAGCTGAGAACCTTATCATTCAAAATACCTGTCCCCAGGGGCCCGCCTGCCAGGACGCACATTCCGGCTGCTCACAGGGCTGCGTGGAAGCAGGCTTGGTCTCGGGGTCACACAGTCTATCGTTCAATCGATCTTCGCCAAACTGACACCAGACCTGGCGGTGCTTGTGGCCTTTTCCACAGGTGACCAAGCACTGTAAGACAAAGCACAGTCACTCAGGGTCGTTCTGACAAGGCGCTGTGGGTTAGTCATTGATTCGCTGGGGCAGGTGCGCCCTTTTTTCTCACAACAGGTCCTGTCTCCTTTAGCAATTGGTAAAGATAACGAGGCTCAGTCTTCCATTCATTCTGTATTTATACGGGCTCCGGGCCCATGTCGAGCACACAATTAAGTTCAAAACGGCGCTATGTCCTAAAATGTGAAGAAAACAGTGCTAGCTTTCGAGCATAGGGGTTACGTGGGTTGAAGTAGAGTTGTTTTAACCCTGCTACAACCAGCCATGGCACACTGCACAAGCCTTGTTCTCATGTGACCCCTCAATTTGCTCATCAATAATATAGGAGCATAATAGTGCTTAATTCAAAGAGGTGTGAAAACGAAATGGAAAAAAAAATCCAAGTAAAGTGTTTAGTGCAGTGTTCATTCAGAAACGCTAAGTTAAATTACCACTATTGTGGTAAGGAGCTGTGTTGATCCACAGTCCTGTGGCTGAGTCCCCATCCTCTCTGCAGGAGAAGGAGGGGCAATTTCCTCCTGCGTAGTTTACCGCCTCTGCAAACCTGATGGAGGGTCTGCTATGAGTTCCTTCTGACTTGATAGTACTTAACAACAAATCATCCACTCAGGCATACACAGTTACATGTTGGGCTGTTAACTTTAAGGTTAGTTCAAACCCAGCAGGAGCAATTTGGGAGAAAGATGAGGCTCCTGTAAAGATTAACAGCTCTGGAAACCCCAGGAGGAGTTCTACTCTGTCTCAGAGTCAGAATTAACTGCAAAACAGTGGGTTTTTGGTTTATGATCCACCCTCATTGTAGACTTTTAAAAATACTAAAAACACAAAAAAGAAAATTATAATAGCCCCAGCACGCACACCTCAGAGAGAAACCATAGTAAAATGTTGCTTTTTACCAAAGGAACTTTGGAACATACTATATTTTATAGGCTGATCCCTCTTAGTCCATCTTATTAAGTAGTCTTGCAAAGATTTGCTGTTAATTTGTCCAGCTATCAAATATGGTTAATCAAACGCAATGTAATTTGTCTACCATTTCAGAAGCAGCAATAATAGCCCTTTAACAGTCACATTCTATTTTATGTTGAAAGTAAACAATATTACATGGCTGGGATGAGGACATGGGTTCAGGAGCTGGAGCAGGCAAACATTTTTTCTTTCACCACACTTCTGATTTGGCCTGTAAATACAGTAACTTCTATTCCCCTATAGTTTCCACATGGTGTACAGTTGCCATGATTTTAGCTGCTAATGGAAAGACATGCTGGAGAAAGGCCTGGTGATCCCCGTACAAAACCCCAGCCACTGAAGTAGAGTCCTATTATGCCAAACTTGGAGTCACCATGAGGAGTCAGCTTGGCGGTATCTGTGTTCCCTTCTGCATGGCTCCCGTTGGGGCAGGTAGAGTGAGCCACTTGTTTAGTGAGCATCTCACTGGGCTATGTGAATACTGAGTGCTGAAACTGTACCATTAAAGTAAGACAGATGCTCCACCCACGCTAAATAATAGAGGGGTTGCCTTCTGCTTCTTCAAGCAAAGAGACTCAGCCTGGCCCTTTTCTCTTTATTCCAGGTTTCCAACTAGCAATTGGCCACTCACTGGGGTTTAATTCTGTTATTTAAAAAATGAGGAAGTAAGAAATCTCATTCTGACCTTGGAGTTAAGCCAGTGGAGTTTTACAATTAATTACTAAAACCATGGCTTCCTTTTAGTGGATGGCTGGGATTCAAAGGATGTTAGTGGGGGGAACTCCAAAATAACCAATGGAAGTGATTTTAAACCCACTGGTCCTTAATCAATTTGATTCATAGTGACCCTTCTCTGGATTAAGATGATAAATCTCTTTTGGAAGAGACTGCCCATTTTTCTCCAGGGAAGCAAGTGATGGAATCAAACCACTGACCCTTAGGTTGGCAGCTTGTCATGTAATGCACTATGTCACTATTGTTCTTGTGTACTGCAAGCTGGAACTGACCCACAGCTGACCCTCCAGCGGGCTTTTAGAGGCAGTAATTTACACAGAAGTTGACTTGCCCATTTTTCCCCCATAAAATAGCTGCTGGATTCAAAACACATGCCTTTGGGTTGGTGGCACAATTACTTGCTATTAGGCCATCAGGGCTCCACCATATTACTGGTAGTGTTATGTGCCACACTGAGTCAGAACTGACCCATAGCTGTTCCTCCAGTGAGTTTTCGGAGGCAATAAATCACACAGGAGGAGACGGCCTATCTGTCTCCCTTGCTGGATTTGAACTGTGTGACTTTGGAACTGCAGCACAGCTTCTTACCACAGGGACCTCTGTGGTCACCAGGGAACAGCTCTGATAAGGACTATAGCCATATGCAGGTGGAGGATAACGGGAGAAAGCTGCAGTAGGTATTGACTGGAAGAGGCCAGGAGAGGAGCAGAATGAGATATTCGGGATGACCCAGGAGAAGCCATGGCTCTTTCCGCTCACCTCTGACCAGTCTCCTGACCTCCACTGTGGACAAGGAAATTCACTGCACCTCTGAATGGTGACCTTCTCCTGGTGAGTGCATTTGCTGTCATCCAGCACATCGTTTCGACTGTTGACACAAATAGCCCTTCTCCTCTGGGTTCCCCCAGCACAGCTTTTAGAACACTGGAGAGAGAAGAAACGAAATTGTGGCCTCATTTCTTAGAAAACATGCTGACGATGCTGGTGACACTGGCTTGTCGCGTCTAGCTCTTAAGGAACAAGCAAATCAACAGGCTTTGCCTGCATATCTATTTCTGAGAAGTTAGCCGTTGGAAATTCTTCACAGGACAGTCCCAACCTGACACGAATGGAGTCAGCATTGGCTTCATGGTAGCCGGTGGTTCGTGCTGTCAGTGTATTTACCCGGCTCTTATTTTCTGAAAGTCAACATCAGTTAATTAGTGTAGAAGACTAGAGCTGGAACTGTCCTATAGGGTGTGTGTGGAAAAAGTCATTGCACCAGCCTCAATTTTCCACACACCACGTACATGCCAGATATCACAGATCATAATATTCTATGTGGCATGAATGGGCTCAGACATTATAAATCAAGCCAGCATTTTTCCAAACAGCCTAAATTTGGCTTCTACACAGAGTTTGGTTTTGTTTTTGCTATTTTCAGGTTTGGTTTTATAAAATAAAGGTAAAAGATAGGTTTATTAGAAAGCTAGACCTCAAAGGGCAGGACAGACCTTGCTCCTTGGGAAGGAAGTGATGGGGGCCGTCTCTCTCCACAGTTTCTCAAGGAGCTACTCTTAATTAGACTTGGAATCTAGGAGGATGAGTCTGTGAGTGCCCACCAACTTACTTCAGTCCAAGCTGAATACCGCCAGCCGCCCGTGTTACACTCTCCTGAGCATTTCTCCTGGCTGCTGGGCTTGGGATAACTGCTGCAGAAGCTGTCATCCACCTTCTCGGTCTTCCCATCCAGCCTGCTGTATTTGGCACAGTAGATGTCTAACGTGCGGTAGCCCAGGCCGCACTGAGCGCTGCACTCACTCCTGCTGGCAACGTGCCACCTACATGGATGCAATGGGGAGAAGCCAACATTTCGGTTAATTACACACGTCCATCTATAGCCACCAGGAGAAGAAACGGGCTCCTTTTCTTGCTAGATTCAAATACCATGGTATCAAAATGAACAGCTGATTTTAACCCAAAATTCATCTAAGTATTTCTCATGGCTGCCAGTGCACTTGGAGGTTACAGTGACAGCTGGAGGTTCGAGCTTTGTGAAGAGACTCCTGACAGAGTCAATCTGAAATTCAAGCAACCACAAAGGAAAAAAAGAAAAGAGAAAGAAATCAAGTTAAACAGAGCAGAAAAAGCAATTTTACAGTTAAAGGTTCATGTAGCCCCGAATTTCATTTGACAAGTAGGATTCTTCAAGCAGCAGACTGACTGGTAGGAACCTCACCCGAGGAAACTCCTTTTCTGAACGCCAGCCCAGAGAGCGTCAAACAACATGCTGTGAATGAATGAAGGACCAGGTCATCTGGATTCTGCCACCTGTGAATCTCCAGGGTGCTCAACCTCGTGTGAGGCACCAGTGAGTAAAGATGGTATGTTCTTGAAACCATAGACTACGCTCTTCACAACTGGATTCTAAACTTCAAAAACTAAATTTAAACCAATAAAATCTCCATCACCTTCGCATCCCCAGACCATGATGAGCCTTTCTAGGCACATAATAGGTGTTCAGTAAGTGCTGCCACATCAGCTGGTCCTTTAATGGCTTCCAGAACATGGTCAGCACTTATATGAAAAAAGGAAAACAATAAAATGCTTAAACAGATATTAGAAATGGTCATACAAGTTGGTGAATGTAATTAATGGCACTGAATAGTTCACTTTTTTTTTTAAAGATCTTTGTTTTTAAAATTTTTATTTTATTATTTTTGTGTGTGTACCATCAAATTGTTGTTGTTAAGCGCCATAGAGTCAGAGATGACCCATAGAGACCCGATGAACTAAAGTCTTGAACACAAAACTTTGATCTTTCCTCCAGGTTCATAGTTTCTGGAGGCAAGCTTTTTTTTTTTTTTTTGAAGTGATGCCACTCCTGCTTCCAAGCCTGCTTTATTCAAAAGAGCCACAAAAAGCAGGCCTAAAGGCTGCAGACCCAAGAGCCCAAAAGCTTTTTAAATATGAGGCCAAATCCAATCAGCTCTCACCCTGTTGTGAGCAACAGCCACACCCTAGTCTCAACCCCAAGCCAGAAAACACACAGAATATACTAAAGAAATATATCTGTTGATTAGATTTAGCAATCAAGAAAAGGATAATTTAAAAAATACAATTTTCAGTTTCTTTCCTTCAGGGGAAAGGAGGGTTGTACTGGCCAATGGGGAACTCTATAGGCTTAGCGGGTAAGGAGTTGGGTGGCTGGCCTCAAACTAGGTGGTTTAAACTCACCAGGTGCTCCACTGGAGAGAGAAAGGTAATCTCTTCCTGTGTGAACTACAGCCTCTGAAAACCCGCTGGAGGGTCAGCTGTGAATTGGTTCTGACTTGACTGAATGGCACATACCTGGCTACGTGCTTATCTCAAAATTCCTTACTATTGCCCAAAAGTAGGTCAGCTGAGCGACATTTTGGCAAATAAAGTAGGCTGCTGAGAGTTTCTTTTTTTTTTTTTGGTTACAATAACAGAGTATTTTGTTCTAACCTGGAGCATATTACATAAGAGATTTTAAAACAATGCTTTAATCACATCCTGTCACAGTTTAATCAAGGCAGACTCTCACTTCCCTAAAACGTGAGGTGAATACGTGAACCAAGTCAACAGAGACATATGGAACTTCCATCTGCCTCTTGCTTCTTGGCTACCCTTCTGATGGTCTTTGTCACCACTTCCTTGTGCAAAGGTTATTTTTCCATCTTGGGAAGAGGAGGCAGGTGTCTTATCCCCACATGAAAACTCCCCAGCATCTAAGGCTGAAAAAGTATATTTCCTGATAGCTACACAATCCCCGGAATTGAAGCCAGGGACCTTGAAGAGTCTGGAGAAAGGTCAGTGTCAGCGTATGAAAGTTCTTATCAAAAACTTAACGGCACTGAGTTTTTGTTTGATGAAAAAGCTTTTTAAACAGATATTAGAAATGGTCATACAAGTTTGTGAATGTATTTAATGGCACTGAATAGTTTACTTTTTAAAAAAAAGATCTTTTTTTTTAAAATTTTTATTTTATTATTTTTTTTGTGTGTACCATCAAATTGGATCTGGGCTGGTACAGGGGGAGATTGTCCCTCCTCCAGCAGAGCATCTGGTGGATTCGAACCATGAGCCTCTGGGATTGCAGTGATGAATTGTATATTTAACAGATGGTTACTATGACAAATTTTATTACCACCATAACGTTGAAAAAAAATATCATCGCCTGTTTCACATTGTTCTCTATGGAAGATGGTGTCATGGAAAGATGACTCAGTGTTTCTGAGTTCATTTAGTTCTTTTCATAGAACAAACAGATTTCATTATTTTGATTTCTAGAAAGCATGTTCCAAAAAAGGAATGGGTGACAGACGTTTATTTGTATGACAACTTACAATCAGGAACAAGATGTGCATTGAAAGTGAACTGGGGAGGGGGAAGTAAAATGTGTATCAACAAATGAATGAAAACTCAACCTTCCTGTAAACTTTCACTAAAATTACAATTTAAAAAAAGCATTTGTTATTAAGAAGAAGCTGAGAAAATGTTTTGGGATGGTTGTGCTTGGGTGAGTGGGGTTGAGAGATCCAATAGTTTTGAGAACGACTGGATTGAACAGGTTTTTTTAACTGCAGAACTGCTCAGAGCCTTCACAGTGTTAAACAGCATTTCGGTCTACATATGGGGTGGGAGAGAGTGCAAGGCTTCTCCTTGTTCTAGTTGGCAATGGATCATATCCTGGGACAGCTATTCTATAGAAAGGAAGTCAGAACTAGTTTAAACATTTAAAAAACTACTTTGGGTTTGACCAGATAGTAACACTCTTCTCTATCGTCAATCAGCTTCGCATGTAGCCATTATGTAACTCGCAATCACAGTGACTGCTGGGCTGACAAGAGAAGATAGAACACCTTCATAAGGCTTAGCTTGCATTTTCATCTATATTTTTAGTAAACAACTTAACTTTTAAAAGAATTGCAAGAAACCAGTTAGATGTGAATGGAAATCCTGACATATGAACACCATTGTCAATTTAATTTCAGACATAAGCATGTGGCTGCTTGGTTACAAGGCTCTAGATTCATCCTTAAATTCTTTTTTTCCTTTTCATTTTTTTATACTTAACCCCTCTCGCTTCTAACCATACACTGCTAGCGGTCAGTTCAGGGACTGTATCATCCCCCTCTGTTCCCCGAGTTGCCGTATTCTGGGAAAAGCCCAGGCAATTTTCTCCAAATGAAATATTTAGTATAACACCTTTGATATGCCTACTACATGAAATTAAAAGACTTTAAGTCCTGGATTTACCTAGGAATTATGAAATGATCTTTAATAAAAGAGCAGAAGATGAGCTCTGGAATCAAGAAAGATCTGGATGCAGATACAAACATGAGTCCTTATTAGCAAAGTGACCTGAGAGGAAAGTCATTCACCTCACTGAGCCTCAGGATCACTTTCTGAGAAATGAAGGTAAATAGAACCCAACTTGTGGGGCTATTCAGAGATGCGAGATATAGGCAGCAGTGAACACACAGTGTGAGCTCTCAAGAAAAGTAGGCATCACTACTACGATTCTTACATTATTTATGACTATCACCTTCATATTTTATTTCCCAAGCAAGTTTCAAATATTACATAGCATAACATACAGCAAGAATACTAAGCTTGAGGAGAAGTGAGATCCAAGCACATCCAAGTCTTAGCGATTCGAAGCCATCTTTCAGTGCATTAGTTTTTTAAAGATCTCTAAATATTTACATTATGCTTGGAAAGTTCCCCAGACAGGAAAAACTCTGGAGACTTCCAGATCAGCTGGCATCATCACAAACCACACTGTGGCTCATTCTGGAATCTGCTCCCAATGAAAAAGATGCAATTCTTCAAGGAACAATGCAAACTGGGTTTCTACCCTCAAACTGCTCCTCCTCAAGGAAATTTTAAGAAGAGTTCTTGCCTTATTGATCTACTAGCCTGCTGCAGGGAGATGAGGCCTTGCATCTGCTTTTATCACTTGAGAGTCTGCAAAATGCTGCCTGATTTAGCCAGTGCACAGATTCCTGCTAGGTAAGGCAGGGAGCAGGGATGGGGTATAATAATATTCTTGGGAATGATTCTTTGACACAGCAGAACAGTATTAACTAGTGTGAGCCATTATTTTTAACTCAACCACTTTCTCCAAGGGATGGAGAGAGCAAGTTCTGGGCTGTCACTTCACCAACAAATTGACTGACCTTGGACAATCTGTTTAATGTCTAAGATGATATCTATGTCATAGTGTAGTAGTGAGGTTTAAATAGGAGCAATATATATTAAGGAGGGAGCTCTAGTGGGATAGTCTATAAAGAGTTGTGCTGTTAACCCAAAGGTCAAGCCTCTTGGGTAGTTCAAATCCACCAGTAGCTCTGAGGGATAAACATGGGCCATTATCTCCTCCACAGTTTACAGCACAGGAGACTTAGTGGGAAGCCAACTACGAGTCAGCTCCAACTCAACGGAAATTGGGCTTTTTAGTTAAGTAAATGGTAAACTCTATCACTGTTGGTTTCAGGGTAGTTGTTTTTGTTACGTTTCTTTGAGTCTGAACCAACTCATAGCTGGGACCCTCCAGGAATTTTTAGAGGCAGAAAATTGCACGGGAGGAGATCACCTTTGTCCCTTGGAGCAGCTGGTACATTTGAACTGAGGGCCTTTGCACTGGGAGCGTGACTCCTTACCATTAAGCCACCGGCTCTCCTTTCAGAGTAACAGGGAATGAATGCAATGATAATCTGATACAAGACTACTTGAAAACAGTCACCTTTCCCAATTTACTGATGAGGTTGTGCTTTAAAAATCCTGCCCACCAATACAAATATTTCCTTTCCTATAAACTGTTGGTGATGAAGTTAAGCAATTAGCTCTTGGATTATTTTACTAAAAACAATTTTAACTAATTTAACTCCATTGGCTGAAGCACTACCATAAACAAGAACTAATACAGCCTAGCATAAATGCTTCCTTTTCACTTTCTTATTTATTTTACAAGCAATTCTGTCACTGCCTTTATGCAAGCCAGTGAACCAGCACGTCAGTGACTGACCCTGGGCTGGGAGGAAGTATGCAGGAATGAGGGATGGAGGGAGTATAAACAGTGGAGGGAGGATGCAGGGTGGAGGGGGAGAGGGAGTAAGTAGGGTAGAGTATGAAGGATAGCAGAGTGAAGGGGTGGGAGAGATATGTAGGGGTGGAGAGAGTATACAGGATATAGGGATGGAGGGAGTGTTTAGGGTAGAGGGGTTGAGGGAGCACATAGGGTGGCAGGGTGGAGGAGGGATTAGGTAGGGGTGGAGGGGTGGAGGGAGTATGCAGGGTGGAGGGATTAAGGGAGTTTGCAGGGTGTAGGGATGAAGGGAGTATGTAGTGTGGAGGGTGTATGCAGGGAAGGGGTGGAGGAAGTATGCAGGGTGGAGGGGTAGAGGGAATATGCAGGGTAAAGGGCGGATGGCTGGAGAAAACATGTAGGGTGGAGGGGTGGAGGGCATATGCATGGACGAGGGAAGGAGGGAGTATGCAGGATGGAGGGAGTATGCAGGGGAGAGGGTGGACAGTGCTTGGGCTTTAGGTCAGAGGCTTCAGGTTAGAATTGGAAAAGCTGCGGCCTAAGGACCATGATTCCTATGCCAGCTCACACATGTTGCTGTTAGGTGCCGTTTAGTTGACCATGACTCATGGTGACCCTCTGAACAACAGATCTGAGCCCTGTCTTATCCTGTGCCATTTTCAGCATCTCCAGCACATTTGGGCCTAATGTTACAGTTATTGTGTCAAACCATCGTGTTGGGAATCTTCCTCTCGTATGTTGATCTTCCATTTTTCCAAGAACTAACCTATCCTTACAACATGCCCGAAAGTGTGTGACACTGAATTTCACCATCCTTGCCTTCAAGAAGCACCCTGGTTTCACTTTTCCCAGGACAGACCTATTTGTTTTTTTAGCAATCCATGGGATATTTAGTACTCTTTTCCAACACCACTCTCAAAGGCATCGATGATTCTTCTACCATCCTTATTCATTATCGAGCTGTCAAATACATAGTAAGTGATTAAGAAGACTAGTTTGGGTCAGGCACACCTTAGTCTTCAGACTGATGACGTTACTCTTCAATACTCTGGAGAAGTTCCTGAAAGCAGATTTCTGTATGTGATACTTCACTTGATTTCTTGAGTGCTGGTACCGAGGGTATTGATTGTGCATCAAAGTAAGATGAAATCCTCGACTATGTCAATCTTTTTTCCATCTCTTATGATGTTGCCTAATGGTCCAATGGTGAGGATTGTTGTAGTCTCAATGCTGAAATGCAGCCCATATTGAAGACTGCAGCCCTTGATCTTCTGCAACAAGTGCTTTGAGTTTCCCTCACTTTCACTGAGCAAAGTTGTATTATGTGCATAGCACAAGTTGTTGATGAATCTTCCTCTGATTCTGATGCCACATACATTCTTCTTCATAAAGTCTAGCTTCTAGAATGATCTGTTCAGCATATAGATTGGATAGATAAGGAAAAAGGACATAGGCCTGGCGTACACCTTTCTCCACTTAAAACCATGCAGTGTTCACTTGCTCTGTTTGGCAACAGCATCTTGGTCTAGGTATAGATTTTGCATGCGCACAATTAAACCTTCCGGAATTTCCCTTCTTTTCAATGTTAGGTATAATATGTTATGTTGTGATCTATACTGTCAAATGTCTTTGTATGGTCAAGGAAACACAGACAGACATTCTTCTGGTATTCTTTGCTTTTGACCAAGATCCATCTAACCTCAGCAGTGATAGTCCTGGGCCCCAGACACACAGAAAAGACATTAGGACTGATCATAGCACCCTTTTCTTCTTTAGATCCTCCAGCGGGGCCTCGAAATCTTTACTCCATCTCTAATTCCACACAAAAGGATTTCACATGGTGACACAGAACTCTGCTACTTAAGAATGGTGAGACCTTAACAAGTTTACTTACCCCCCTTACACTGATAATTTCTCTTCTGTAAAAGAAGGTTCAAACACTGACTGAGCTTATCTGACTCAGCTTCACCTCACATAAGTTGGACGTGCTGTCAGGAGGGTCCAGTCCTTGGAAAGGATATCAGGTTGGGAAAGGTGGAGGGTCAGAGAAAGAGAGGAAGATCCTAAATGAGATGGATTGACACAGTGACTGTAACTAAGGGCTTGAACAGATCAGAGGCCTTGAGGATGGGACAACATAGATCTGCTGTTCATGGGCAGCTAAGAAACGTAGTCAAGATGGCACCCAACAACATCTTATCTGCACTGAACTCATTTGCAGACTGTACCAAAAACCTACAAAGTCACACAGTCAACCTTGCAGGCCCATGGACGTCTTTTAAATCTTGAACCACCTGGCCCAGATTTTCTACTTAGGTACAGAATGATCTGGATATCCAGACACCTGAATGTAGATTTTCTTCTTAGTCTCTCCATTACTCTACTATACTGCAACTTTCACATGCAAAAGAGTTCTGTGATGCTCTACATGCTGGTGATATGTAGCATTCTGTGCACTCTGAGAGATGATGTTTCCTTCTTTTTGCTGATTTTCAAACCAGACGTCTGTGTAAGACGTGACTCACTCATTACAATAACACCAACTTAGTGTAGTGTGAGAGTTGAATGGACACTTTAAATGGTGCCATACTACTCCAGTCACTTTTCCTTCCTAAGAGAGTGACCAGCATCAGCCTCACCCAAGCAGCAGTGAAGACAAAGGATTCACAATGACCCCACCTGAGTTCACAGTCTGTGCCGCAGGGCTCGGTAATGGGTCCCGGCTGGGGCAGCCGATCACATCTCTGATCAGAAACTGTAAGCTGATCTGATTCCCGGGTGCAAACAAGCTTTCTTTCCCGCTCCCCTAAATAGAAAAAAAAAAATAAAGTTACCTAAGGGAAAGAACCAATTCCATCAACTGTTTAGATGAGGGACCAGCAAACTTTCAACGTAGCACCAGATCACAAAGATTTCTTATTTTGCAGGTCACACAATCTCTGTCACAACAACTGAACTCTGTTGCTATAGGGACAAAAGCAACCAGAGATAATATAATAAGTAAATAAGTGTGTTTCTCTGTTCAAATCAAGCTTTATTTGCAAAAGTAAGATATGTGCTGGATTTGGCCCACTGGCCATAGTTTGCAGATCCTTTATTTAGACAAAAGGAAACATCTCACCCCATGGCTGTTCCAGAACAAATAACATGTAAAACATCTACATATATCCATATTTTAGGGAGGAAATGGCAGCCATGAGTCTATGCAGCTCATGGTGTGAGCAAATCTACAGGAAAGGATCTATAATACATCCTGAAATCCTTAGAACAAGAAACCTTCCAACCCCAAATGATCAGATGTATTCAGAGAAAAAAAGGATAAGAAGTGTATGCAGATAAGAGTTTCTAGAGTCTTAAAAAAGATAAAAATGACAAGAAAACCCCAGAGCTTGGGCCCAGCGTGGATACCTTGGCAGGGTTTGCTGCAGGCTTGCCAGGGGCCATGGGTATTCCAGTAAAACTGCTGAGGTTTATCGTCGATTGGGATATTGAAAGTATAGCGCACGTCGGGGTTATACAGCTTCCCCACCGACAACACCTGCAATGTGCAGATAAAACAGAGAGCATGTTTCCAGTCCTGGTGGCAGGAAGGGCCGTGCACGCCTGGCCACGTCCGTACCTGAAGCAAAAGTTCCTGTTCGATCCGATCCGTGGAGTTGATCCTTTCCACGACATTGTCAGACCCGCTGTATTCAATCACAGCATTCCCAATGCGGATTTCCCTTTTGGACATTGTGACAACAAAGTCTCCATTTAGCAAGAATTCGCCTTTGCTGCTTGATAAAGCTGTGGAAGACAAAAGAGCGCTCACTCATCTGCTGCTGGTTCCCAGCTGTTTGAAATACAGCACTTTGCTAGACGGAGCACAATGATGCCAAGAATATGGCACTGGCAGTCAGACGGGTCTGGATTCCAACTCCACTTTCTCCACTTGATGAGTTGTGTGGTCCCTGGGTTTTCCTTTCTTTACCTCTAGATTGAGAACGAAAACACCTACCCCTCAGTGTGCCTTAGAAATTAAGTGAAACAATATGGAAAGAAATATGTGTCCTAATTCGTTTGTTATACAAGCCCTGTTATAGCATTATTTTTTACAAAAGTCAAAGTCTAGTCAGTTGAAAACATGTATTCAAGAACTGACCATCTAGAATATTGGATCCCACCCAATTATCCTTCTCTAAATTATGTGTGAATTAGCTGAGCCTGTTGAAACTTTGTTGACTCTCTTTGATATATGTTGAAATCTAATATGTGGCCAATGTGATACTAAGAAGTCACCTTTACACACCTTTCACTATGATAGCCAGAGGCCAACTTGTCCCTAATGACCCTTCCTGGAGGTATTCACACAATTATGTGGCTAGTCCCTGAACAGGGCTGCCCGATACCATTACAGGGGTCACAGAAATGATGGCGCATGACTTCCAAGGGCAATCAAAGGCCTGGGATGCTGCCTTGGTCTCCCTTGAATCACAGGCCCTAGAATAAATCAGCTAGCATGCTAAACTGTCCCATAAAGACAGGGGCGGAGGTCCTCCACAAACAGTAGTGAGGAATTGATACCCTCATGAAGATACTCTGAGGAATCATCTTGAGTAGATCCTCCAGCCCCAGGGGAAGCTTCAGGTAAGATCACAAACTAAATGACATTTTGACTTCAGTCTCATCAAAGACTTACACTGCTTCCAAATTCCCAACCCACAGACACAGTAATAGTATATGTTTGTTGTTTTAAATCACTGCATATTGAGAGAATTTGAAACAAGATAAATGAGGACTAAAACAACTACTCAGGAAGCACACTCCTCCCTCCCCAAACTCACTATGTATATGAATGAAACACAACATATGAATAATCACGTATGAATGTATATGAATATTACATATGAATGTATATGATTACATGCACACCAATTAAAAAAATAAACAAAATCCCCCCTACTCTGACCATAGTTGTAAGAACTGTCACCCCTCCCTCTGTCAGCACACACTCAGCTTAATTTTTCTCCACAGTTCATTGCCTATCTTCTGACATCCCAAACAAGAATGTAAGTCCTGGTCAGTCTGTTCTGACCCATTCATAGTCTGTTATGAACGTCTAATAAACCTCAGTTTCTTTCTCTTAAAAAAACAACAACACAAAAACATATAAGTCCTGGGAGAACAATACTTTTTGGATCATCTTATTCATACCAGGTTCTGAATGAACATATGGTAATTGCTTAATAAAGCTTTTGAAAGTATGAAGAAATCTACTACCACTACTGCAAAGATGAAAGAATATGTAAAGTAGAAAAAGTGAAGTTTGAAGAACTGCTCAAATTAAGTGCCAAACTATTGATCAACTGAGGACCTGAAAGAGTTAGACTAGTTGTAAGGTCAGTTTCACCGCACGGTAGCTCCCTGTGGTCAGGGCAGGATGCGCTGCACAAGGTTGATGCTCAGGAAATAAATCACCACGTTGCAATTCTGGGTAGATTCGAATTGTCAAGCTCCCTGTTAGCAGCTGAGTGCATGAACTGTATGACCCAGAGGCGTTCCTGGAAGGGTTAGACCAGTTACAAGTCAAAGAAAGTATAGAAAGCCGACAAAGAGGATGAGTTGCTTCCAAAATAATTACATTTAGTAAAGAGACTTTTGAGAAAGTTTGGGTAGCCCCAGAAAAAGTTTATAAAAAAGAAACTACTTTCAGAGTTTATGGTTAAATTCTAACTTGAAGGGAAGAAGGTAATCTGCTATCCTATGACTTGGTTGGAAAAATGAGACAAAAATATTTATTCATTCCTTTGCATTCTGTCCCCAAAGCCCAAGTGTAAGGGAATATGAAAGCTACTTTTTGTGGAGTATAAAGGAAAAAACTCTCAAAACTTATTTTCTTAATTTCTCAAGATAAAATCGCCTTGTGCTAGTATTTACTACAAAATTTTCAAACTTTATCTTGAGAACTGTCTTTTCCCCATAGTACCACAACTTCTTGCAAAACAAGCCTACAGAACGTTGTGCTTGACTTGAAGCACCAAGCCCACTGCTGACTGGCAGCTATCCTCCGTTCGGTTTCTGAGGCTCTAAACCTTAGCAGGAGGAGATTCTCTCACCTTTTTCCACATGCAGCAGCTAACCTTTTGGTTAGCAGATCAACAGAAAAATGCTCCTTGGACCTTACACAGGCACTCAATAAATCAACGTTTTTAAATGCATAGGCCTTGAACAAAAGAAGCTAGACAAATGTTCTTTTACACTTTGCAATTGGTGCAGCATTAGTAAATCTCAGCTGTGAGAGGCTCCTTGCAATGCACAGGGCACAGGCCATGTATTTAGGTGGATACAGGAACAAGGACATTTAGTTCATGGATGGCAAGTCATTGTCAATGCACTGAATTGCTAGACTCTGCCCAGAAGCTATGTGTCGAGCAGGATTTGTTGGGAGCATGCTGCCTTGGAAGGAATGTGGGGACACATTCATGATACGTGTCATCGTCACAGAGTAGGCCCTGCAACAGCTTTCCGATCTGCTGGGGGAGATTCTATTCTCATCTTTCATTGATTTCTTTTGCACTTACCAATCAGGCCAAAGAGAAAGTGCAAAAGAAGGTTAGCAGACTCAGGGATGGTTTGTTTTGTTTTCAAGACTGCATGAAAGCCTCTCATAAAGCAACCCCTTAAAAATTGAATTTTGCAAGCTCAGCGAAGACTCAAGCCCATAGTAGGTGTGCTGTTAATGATGCTGAGTGAACAAGTGACTGATTGACTCTGACATGCCTGACAAGGAGACTAGCTAGCCTGCTTCCAGCTAAATCAGTGCTTCCCAGTCCATGGAAGCCTCATGCCCCCTGCACCTCCTGCAGCATGAGTCCCACCAGCCAAACAAGACACGAGCCTTGCAATGGGTCACTGACTGGAGATGAGGTTGTTTCCGCACCACCTTCGGCATCCTGAGGCTGCTCCCCAATGCAGTTCACTTACAGGGTGACAGCGTGATGTGCTGCCAACAAGGTCACTCAATTCTTTCAAGTTAGGTCTCATGCTAGCAAACCCAGCTGACATGTCACTAACAGAGGGGAAATGAGATGTCACAACGCCAGTTCTGTAAATGAAGCGGTAATCCCGATTTACTCGTTTGTATTCAAAGAGTGATGGTCCACTCCAGGTTCATTCTGGGGCTCCTTTCTAACGTCACCTTGTTTCCTCTCATGCTTATGCTGACTTGGGGCATTTTACCCTTGACTGCATGCTCCTAATCCCAGGATATGGGGCATAGGGGATGAGGCAGGGCGCAAATGATCTAAGACTCCTCTCAGGATTTGCTCTGATTAACACTTTGGCTCCAGACATCTGTAAAGTCATCAGCTGAAATGAAGTTCCTGCTTTATCTTGAACGGAATCAATTCCTGTCTTCCCGTCGCCACAATTAATCAAGGGCTGAGCCTGCTGGAGCGATATTAGCAGCCGAGAAATGACTGTTTTTTCTTTGGGAGACAAATTAACATGGCGGCATTGTGTGCAGTTTGGCTTTAACTCAATGGGGAGGGAGGGGGTCTATGAGAAAGGACAACCTTTGACAGGGAGACTTTCTGCTTCGGTACCTTGTAAAACAAATAGTTTCCTGAAAATAACTCTTGACTGCCTGACCTCCCACTCATGCGATTAGGGGAGCTAATTTCCTGGGTTAGTTTCCCCCCCATTTCACCCATCAGAGCTGGCTTGCTACAAAAGCATGCTCTCCCAGACATTGTTCCCTCACCAAAACACACATGTAGTATGGTTGGATTGATTTAGAAAAAATCCAACCCAACACAGCCAGGAAACATAAGGACGAAGACTGCTTCACAACATCACAGCTGTGAATGGACCCAAGCAAGACTGATGCATTTCCAAACCATCTCTAGGCATTGGCTAGTTTTATTTCGAGTCAAGGGTAAACATTTACACACCTTAGCTTTGATGACAACACGCATACTTCCTAAATGGTTGAGTAACCACTATAAGGCTCAAAGCTCTGGACTCCCAGTTTTCACACTCGGTGAACTGTCATTTTCATTGTCTGCACTCACACTTGGCCATTTTGCTTCCAGAGAGATTTCTCCAAGCCAACATGTGATTTTCTCAGAATATTTCATTCAAGAACTACAATTGGTACAGACGGCCTGTCCCAGATGACAAATCTTCTTTAATTTTTGCTTCTCTTCTTTGAAAGGAGATTAAGAAACCTTCACTGGGGAATAAAAGGTGGCCCCCCCTGAGCGCAGGCTCCTGACCTGGGTTGATTAAGTTGCATTAGAGGGAGGTTATTTTTCCAGGAAGGAAAAGAATAGAGAGGATTCCTTCTCTCTTTCGAGAAGAAGAAAGGAACAGCTCAACTCAGCTTTCGGCTCTCGGGAAATGAATTTATAAAGGCGGTTTCATGCAATGCTGCTTGATTTAATTAGGAAGTAGCCAGGGCACAGCGGTCACATGCTCAAATTTATAACCAAGTGCGGAAGAAAAACGCTTGACCCATTTTGCACAGTGGTGGAGCAAGAAATATGGGATTAAAAACATTTTAAAAATTGAAAAGGATTCCCATAGATATTGGGAGTGGCTTTATAGCCACTTCATTTGGATATTTAGGGTAAGAAAAGTTAATGCAGCCACTGACTCAACAGTTCCAAGTAAGACTCTGTGGCCTTTGAAAGAGGGGATGGCTGTGTGTATTTCCAGGGTAATTCCACACACGAGGAGCTCAATAAAGGCACCACTCTTTTGCTTAGAGCCTGCTATGCATGTTGTTGTTGTTGTTATGTGCCTTTGAGTCGCTTGTGACTCATAGTGACCCTATGTACAACAGCTCTAAACTCTGCTCTTCTGTCCTGTGCCAATCTTATTGTCTCTGACACACTCATCGCGATTGCCCCAGTCACCAAATCAATCCATCTCCCAGAAGGCCTTCCCCTCCTGCGCCTGCCCTCCACCCTCCCAAGCATGATGTCCTTCTCCAAGGACCTGTCTCTCCTTACAACATAACCAAAGTACGTCAGACGAAGCCTCAGAATCCTTGCCTCCAAGGAGCAGCCCGTTTGAACCCTCTCCAGGATGAATCTGTTTGTTTTCTTAGCAGTCCATGGCACCCTCAGCACTCTTCCCAACACCAAAGCTCAAAAGCATCAATTCTCCTTCTATCCTCCCTGGTCATTGTCCAGCTCTTTGATGCATAACAAGTGATTGCAAAGACCATGGCCTGTACCAGACACACCTTCGTCTCCAGAGACACACCGTTGCTCTTGAGTACTTTAGAGAGGTCCCTAACAGTAGACTTTCCCATCACAATAGGTCTTTTAATTTCCTGGCTACTGGTGCCAAGAGTGTTGACTGTGGAGCCAAGCAGACTAAAGCTTCGATCTCTTCACCATCCATCCTGATGCTACCAATTGGTCCAGTGGTGAGAATCTTTGTCTTCTTGACACTGAGCCTCAATCCATATTGAAGGCTACAGTCCCTGACCCTCAGCAGCAAGCGCTTCAGGTACTCCTCAGGTTCAGCAAGCAGGGTTGTGTCATCTGCATAACGCAGACTATTGACAGATCTTCCACCAATCCTGACACCACATTTCTCCTCATATAACCCAGCCTCCTGGATGATCTGTTCTGCATAAAGGCTGAAAAGGTATGGAGATAGGACACATCCCTGGCGTACAACCTTCCCAATTTTGAACCATGTTCTGTTTGAACCTTGCTCTGTTCTGACGACTGCCTCTTGGTTCAGGTATAAGTTTCGCATTTGCACGATCAAATGTTCTGGCTTTCTATAAGAGCTGAAAATTTGAAGACCTTCAAACACTAGTGGTCAGATGGATAAACAAGGAACAAGTCTTCTCATTGCAGTTGACGGCAATTCAAACCACTGAGTTGCTTAAGTCTTGGAATGACTTTTGATCTCTCTCTTTCCTTTATATGTCATAGTCACTCTATCAACAAAACTATCCAGAATCTCACCTCGTCCCACCACCTCCACTGCCCCTTATTTCCAACCAAGTCATTAGCATAGCTCTCTCTATTTGAATAAATAACATCCTACCCAATCCTCTTGCTTCTACCCTGTCTCTTCCTGCTTTCTCCCCAAGACCATCAATTTTCAGCCTAACAGGGTAAATCCTTTGAAGAAGTAAACAAGACCATTCATGCCATATCATTCCTCAGCTTAAAACCCCAGACGTGCCCCTTCTTTCTTTGAGTAAAACCCCAATGCCTTAGTTGGACATCATAATGTTCTATAATGGTCAATTTGGCTAGTTATTTGATCAAACACTCATATAGATGCTATTTTGAAACAGCTAAATCAAGGGGCCTTAAAGAAAGTCCACTGCCCTCTGTAAAGCAGTTGGCCCTCATCCAATCAAAAGAGGTCTTATGAGCAGAACAGACACAAGATTCACACACAGGGAAAGAAGGGTGCATAAAGACATGCGAAGAAGTGAAAAAACACCAAGAAATGGCCAGGGCTATCCTCAAGGAAGGATCCTTGCCTGAAGCTCTGATTTGAACTTATAGGTTCGAAAACTGTGAGGCAATATATTTCTGTTCTTTAAAGCCACAGAGTTGGGACATATTTTTATAAGAGCTCAAAAAAACTAAGATAGGTCCTAATATTTCTTTAACGTCAACTCCGTGAGATTTCCTTGGTCTCACTCACTCAGTTCCAGCCACACTGCTCTTCCTTCTAGTCTTCAAATGATCTAGGACTGCGTCTACTTCAAGAACTTTATCATAAAGCCTGGTACCTGGGGCTGGAACACTCTTCCCCAAGAGGACTTGTTCTCTCTATAATTCAAACATGTCAACTCTACTGTCCCACCGCAGCCTTACTCTCACATTATTCTTTATGCTTCTCTGTTTGTTTTGGGGTTCTTGTTGTTTTTGTTATAGTATTTATAATAATTTTTTAAACAGTATAAAATTGGCTTATCTACAAGTCATAAGGGAGCTTGGCCTAGTGCTGAGAAGTTGTGTTGCCAACCCCAAATCATGTGGTCTGAATCCACCAGTTGCTCTGTAAAAGAAAGATGGATAATCTTCTCCCATATAATGTACTGCCTCTGAAAATCTGCTGGAGGATCAGGTACGGGTCGGTTCCACCTCAACAGTACAAAGCTACAACAAAAAGTCATTGTTTACTGTCTATCTGTTCCAACTGTAAAGAGACTCTAATGGAACAGGGATTTACTTCCTTTTTTAGGGGATCTGGCTTTTATTGTTGTCCCTAGAAGAACATATGGTATACACTGTCGAGTCGTAGATGTCTCATAGCAACCCTGTGAATGAAAGACCTGAACACTTGTATAACTTTTATCATTTCTCTAAGTTCATAGAGTTTCCAGAGGTAAGCTATTTCGGAAGCGGATGCCACTCCTGCTTCCAAGCTTGTTTTGATTGGGGAGCTCCACCAAACAGTGTCCACCATGGGCCACCATTATCACATTTGACACATCAGTGTCACAGTTTTTAGTATCACAGCAACCTCAACATTAAATAAGTAAATAAAAGAATGATAGGTTGTAGAAAATGCTGCAATACAGTCATGCATAAATATATTTGATTGGCATGTTTGGCTAAAGGCATACTAAGCATTTATGCAGAGTTTCATGCAGCCATTCGAAAATTATCAATATAAGTTCTAATTCAACTCAGCAAATAACTCATTTAATAGTTCAGGATGTCCAAACCTTTGGGGCAAGCCTCTGCAGATGCATCAAGCAGAGTTCCTGCCTGGAAATGACACAACAGAAAAGACAATCATTTCTCTTTCAAGTTGATTTCTCACAACACTGCCCTCATCTCTTTCAGATCTGAGGGCAATGGTGCCATATGCACGGCTAGGAGGAGGCTAATTGTACACAAGGTGCTCAGACTTCATCCGACTCTCTGCAACCTGCCCCTGCCTCCCAACACGCTTCCTTAGTAGTGGTTGGGTTGTTGTTGTTGTTATTGATTGCCTCTCAGTTTAGCGTGACTCATAGTGGCCGTATGAACAAAAGGCCTGAAGCGCCTCTAGAACTATTGACATTTATCAAAGTTCATAGAGTTTCTGGAGGCATGTTGTTTAGGAAGAGGATGTCACTCCTGCAACTTACAAAATCATAAGTTGAAGGGATAGGGGGACCAGCTGAGCAAACTGTCAAAGATCCACACAGGTTCGTTTACATAATAAGGTATCTCAGTCACAAAGGGAAAAATGCTATATGGTGCCTCTGTTGTAGAAGGAGGCTGGCATTGAGGTTGGGGGTAAGACTGAGAAAAACTGGATGAAATATGTTTACAGCATTGAAATCTATGGGGGAGAGAATAGTTTAAAAGTATTATATTTTAGGGCATTATGTTTATCGTAGGAGTATGCAACGAGGGTTGCAAAGTGGATTATATTTGGGGTTGGGGGTGGGATTGGGGGAGATGTGGGGGGGATTGTATACCAATGAGGGAGTTTTTCTTTTGCTTTTCAAGGAGAGGAGCAAGAGGGGGGGTGGGCAGGGAGAAGGGTGCAACAATGAATGAATGGAATTCCAAAATCTCTGTAGATGTTCATGGAAATGAAAAATAAATAAATTAAAATGTTAAAAAAAGAGTTAATCATGGGCCTGGGTGTAATGAGAAAAGCACAAAGAGTCTATGGCAAAGCTGGCCCTTCTGGAGTGACATGAGAGAAACCTGTGCCATTGTAAGACCAGCCCTAAAGCAACTCAGAACGTCTGCTTCTGGTTAGATCGGAAAACACAATTAAGTCAAGTTGTTATGTATCAAGTTAGATCTGATTCACAGCTGACCGACCCCAGTGGGCCAAAAGTAGTAAATCACATGGGAGGAGATTGCCTCTCTTGCTCTGTAGAACACCTGGTCAAGTAATATGCCTAATAAAACAGTTACCCGTAAGTTTTTTTACAAAAATACTTAATAAGAGCAATTACTGTATGATAAATGTATAGAGTGAGTCCTTTAAAAACGTGATTTGTGGTCTACTTTTAAAATTTTTAAAAATTATTTATTATTATTATTATTTTAATTGATATTTTTAATGAAAATCTAGAAACAACCTGGATTTCCATTCATTCATTATTACACATTTTCCTCCCTACGCCCCACCCCAGTTCACTTTTCTCTTTAAAAAGATACTTTCATTGTTGTGCAGTTTCCTCTGGCCTCTCTATTTTCTAAAATCCGGAGTTATTGTTGTCAGTTGCTACCGAGCTGGCTCTTCATGGTGAACTTACGCATAGCAAACAACACGCCTGGGCCAGGGCCACCTGTACAGTCATTGGGATGTGTCAGCCACGGTTGTGATTATTGTGTCAATCCACCTCATTGAGGGTTTGTAAACCTTTATGGAGACGACTATACGCCAATATTCTGAAACTGCCAAGTTTATGAGAGAGAAGGGCACTTGCAAGAGGAACTCCATAAAAATATACATCACAGGAAAGCTCTCCCTGTAAAAGAGGAAGTGGAATCTGTCAAGTACCCCCAGGGGCCCAGAATTCCTTCCAAGGACAGTGGACATCTCACTCACCTAAGTAGTTGTCATCCTCTGATTTCCCTGAGAAACTGTGCTGCCGCACGTCTATACTGGTAGCACCAGCTGGAATTCGCACCACAGTGTTGTAACCTGAAAAGAATGAAGCATGAATCCAGCACTCCGCAGGAAGTTCCCTTTCCCGGTGCGTAGACTTAAAGGTGAGCAACAAGGGAATAGAGTATCTCTCTCACTAACAAGTGCTTTTTGCCAGATGGATAATGTTGAGAAACAACATTGATTCATTTTATTAATACTGTTTTACATATAACAATGTTTAAACTTAGACCATTTTCCTGTTCTTAGAAACAGATTCTTACCATAATGCACCGTATTAAATGTTCCTGCCACTGTTTTGCATGAAGAATTATCACCACCGCAAACCCCACATTTATCTCTTCGAGCTTTTGAGTTTAAAACATGATCACATCCAGCTTGCTTTAAAGAGAACACATTTTAAATAAATGGTGAGTGTTACAGAAAGGCAGACAATGGCTTTCTTTGAATGATACACATTCAAAATGGCAAGACGATTACATCCCCTGAAATATATGTTAAGAACACAAACTGTCCACAGCTTTGCTATTTATAACATGGTCCCAAACCAGCAGCCACTGTTTTTAGGAATGCAAAGTCTCAGGTCACACCCAGACTTGCTGAACCAAAGTTAGCACTTTAACAAGCAGACCCCCAAGTGATTCACCTATAGATTAAAGGCTTCAAACCATTGGCCCGAGAATAAGGAGAGTAAATGAGATCATTCAGTAACCAGAAGACAGAAAAGGGAGTAAAGAAGATTGTGTCCAATCAAAGGGCTTTTTTCAGAAGCAGTCCCTGTCCACGGCATGCCGGGTTACCATGAAAAGAGGAGCCCAGTGTTTGTCAATCTTTCAAAAGGAAGCCGAATTCAGTTTCACGTGACATCCCCCAGCATTCAAACGTGGAGTATGAATGAATGCAGGCCAAATCAAGACTGCAGGCTGCCAGGTTGAGGCCGCAGGCAATAACAGCGTCTAGAATTCTCTCCTGTGCTAATAAGATGCTTGGAGTAGGTGGGGTTCTGAGACAGACACTAGCAACAACCAGAAGACCAGAATTCACAGGCCTGTCCACTTTAGACCTTTGTGCTGCCTGGTGAGAGGAGAGACACCATGCACTGCCACGGAAGCGACGAGGAGGGAAGAGACACTATCACCGGGTGTCAGGGAGCAAGCAAAGCTCTTGGAACCTCTCCCAATCAAATCCTACTGAGCCGTGACTCCCATCTGCCTTTGGACTGCAGATGAGGAACTGCATCTGTGTCAGAACTGACTGTGGTAGCAACGATTTTCGAGTAGTGAAAACAGTGAATCTGTACCAAGCCCTGGAGAAATTGCTGTTGTTGCACCACCATCTGCCAGGTTTATCCAGCTCCCATCCAAGGATGATCAACAGATGCATGTCAGACAGAAGCTCTCGTGCCTACAATCACAATGAGCAACGCCTGCTCTTTCACGTGCTGTCAGGATCAGAGCTATTCTAAATTTATGGTTAAGGTGGTTCGAATCCACCAGCAGCACCATGAGAGAAAGATGGGCAGACTCCTTTTGTGTGATTTACAGCCCCTGCAAACCACTGGAGGATCAGATACAGGCCAATTCAGACTCGACTGCACATAAACAACAAGAAGAACAGCAGCAACAACGGAATTAAGCATGGAGATTATAATGAAGGAATGTATGTGTGTGAATTACAATAAATCTTAAAAGTGAGGTTTGGTGTGGACCTCCTACACACACATGCATGTGCACACACACACACACACACACACCCCGTCCCCCCATGGTGGTGGTTCTCACACTCTGTTTGCACAAACTCCGGGACTGCTGGCCCAGGACCATGCTCTGAGATCCAGTGCCCTGGAGACACTGGATAGACTGGACACCACAAACCACAGCCTGTCAGTGACACAGCCCAATGAAGAAACGTCACCTGGGACTCACCCGGCACAGGCCTTGCACACAGATGTCATTGGTGTCCTGGCCACAGGGAGTGCCATCCACCACTCTGTCTCGGAGCTGATAGTAGGCTGTGTTCCCGGCCACCCTGCAGAACAACTTACACCGGTCCTTCATCAAGACTAGAGAGGAGAAACACAAAGCCTTGTGACGTCCATGCCTGCCCCGCGTCAGCCTGCCACAGAGGACCCTGTGTCCGGAGATACTTACTTCCACTGTATTTGGGGACCCAGCGGACGTTGGGAAGCAACCCGTTGATGTTAAAATGCTTTCCATCAAAGTGGGCACATTGCTCATCACGGAAGTCACGCTTCTGCTTGAGACACGGCTCTGTGTTGCAGGACTTGAATTTCATTCTGCGCCCTACACAGTACTTTCCACCATTATTTGGCCTGAGAAGATATAAAGAATGCACATTTTTATGATCCTTCTCCCACCACTGCTCCCTCTTCTGACTTCCTGTCTAAACGTGGAAGCTCGCTGAGGTGGCAGACTACAAAGGAAACGTCCGGCCCTCCAAAATCTGGGTTCGCGTTCTGCCTTTAACTCCATCACTTGTATGATCTTGGTCAAGTCACTTCACTGCTGTGTGCCTTAGTCTTTAAAATCTGTAGAATGGGCTGTTGCTACCTTTTATGGGTGATGGATGAATAAAGTGAAAGCATGCAATTTAAACCATGAAGCACAAAAGTTTGGTATTTGTGGGACAATTTCTGTCCTCTTTGTCCTAGAGCACTAACAGTCCTTTTATTTAAAGAATGTAAAAGAGGAAAAGTGTCAAAAAGTAGTTGGAATAGTCCTTCCCTGTCCGTTTTCTGGACCTTGATGTATTCATAAGGGGTCACACTAACGCCACACAGCTCGTCACCATTCATTCTGTCTCGCCTATTCTCTCTCCCAGCAACCACTGCTTTTGTTTGTTCCATTGTACAAATAAAATGGGCATGTGCTCCTATTTGGACTTAACTTCGGGACAGAAATAGGGCACAGTGTAGCGTACTGGTTTCATTAACTCTCGTGTGACAAGAGAAAGGCGTGTGCCTTACAAAGCACCACGGTGCAGAGTTAATCTTGGCAGGCAACCCTGTACATGCGTTTCCCAGATGTGACCCAGAGAGGAAATTATACAACACTTCTACCAGCAGTTGGACGACTCGCCAAATTTATCATGGAAACGGGAAGATCACAGAATCATAGGAAGTCACAGCTCACCCACCCAGGGCTGGAGCAGCTCAGATCTCACGGCCACCCTGGGTTGCCCTTGACACTGAAAGCAAATCGTCCAACTTTTTTTCTTTAGGGGGATAGTTCTGAGTAAACTTGACCATGAGAAGTGGTTTGTTTTGTTTGTTAAACAGGGCTTTTGAGCAATGTGAAACATACCCGTGCCTATGGAGACTTAGAGGCAGATTAGGCTCCAGGCTTGGATCTCTGAGTTTCAGTCTCAGCCCTATCCTTGCTGTGTGACCTTAGACAAAATTCTTAACCTCTCTGAACTTTATTTCCAGTAGCCCCCAAAATAAGTATATACAGTGAATGCTTGCCACTTTAGCTACCATATTAGCATATAAGCCAGTTTAGCCATTATTTTGTTTTGAAGACCAACTCTATTTTTCTTAGTGGGGCAAGATTGAACTCTTTAGAATGTTCAAGTCTCAGGAAGGAACCAGCTGGCAAAACTTGTCTTGACATGCCATCAGTACACTCCGTAGGCGGATATTAGGTAAAAGCAAAGTTTCGCACCTGTAAGTTGGACAACCACATGGCAGATACTTAGCTCATTTAAACCCCATCCTTAATATTTTAAGGAGATGATACAGTCAACCTCAAGGACTTGTGAGGAATCTGACGAGCTTAGTAAGGAGTGTGACAAACGTTGCTACTTATCATGAAGAAGACTGTTTATAGGGATGGACTATGGCACATAACCCAGCCTGTCCATCCCCATCAAATGCAGTGATGTCCATTTGCATCAAACCTGCCCTGTGAACTGGACTTGCCACAATTCTTTGATATCCTGCCCAAGGTTAGGGCCAATGAGGTACTTTTATGTCAAGCAAAAAGGAGGTCCAGAGAAGGTAAGTCATTTTCCCTGAGGTGCACAAAGATTATAAAAGAGTAGGGCCAGGCCAGGAATTCACATTCCCTTGTGTGTTGATTCTGCTACATCATCCTGCTGCCGTGGTCCAGAGCACGATCTTTTTTGGTGCCATTTGGAAATGCAGACTTGGTCTCCTGGAATACCAAGCCCTTTCCTTAGTACTGAGACAGTCGAGCTTCATGCATTTAAAAAAAAATCACAGATTACACCTGAATAATACGTCAGGTTCCTACACCTGCTCAGGGGAAGCCAGTCTGAAACGAGCTACCAGGAAGACCCCCTTCAATTTTACCTCAGACCAAATTATCTTCATGGCATCTTTGTAAAGAACCCAACTGATGATGGAGGATCAATCATTTGCTTTCTGAAAGTAGCTCATATTTCTTTCCCTTTGAAAAGGAAATTTTAAAGAAGCTGATTTTCTCCATCTGGTTCCCTTACACAATCAGTTTGAGATGTCTCTCGAAATTTGCCGAGGGCAGCTGTACTTTTTGAGTTGCAAATAATTCTTACTTGTAGATGGCTCACTGCAAAAGTCAACAATTCCCACCTTTTGGTTATCTGAATCACCACCAAGGAGTAAATCGCATTTTGTGATTTCTTTTGTATAATCAGCACTTTTCATAAATAACATAAAACCTTATAGGTGAGAGGCAATATGGTTGAGGGATTATAGACATGGACTCTGAAACCACAGAGTCTGAACCCTTGTCTTGTCTTCTACTAATGGTGCAATTTTAACAAAGCTTCAATTAACCGTAGCCTCAGTTTCCATCTGTGAAAAGGGGATGGTACTAATATCTGCCTCAAAGGGCTGCAGTGAAGGTTAATGGCTACTGCATGAATGCATGTAGAGGGAGATCTAACACATAGTACATGCTCAGTAAAGGCTCTATTATCACAAGGGTCAGCAAACTGCAGCCTGTCAGCCAAATCCTGTCCCCATTTATTTTTTGTATGGCTGGTGCGTTAAGAATATCTTTTACAAAAATAAAATAAAATTTAAAAAAAAGAGAATACCTTTTACATTTTAAAATACTCTTTAAAAAATCAAAAGAAGACTATTTCATGGCATGTGAAAGTCACACAAAATAGAAATGTCATTGTATTAAAAAAAAAGATTTCTTGGGATACAGCCATGTCCGTTGATTTATGCGCAGTTTCTGCTTCTGCAAACCTGGATGAATAGTGGTGACGGAGGCTTTGTGACCTCTAAGATATGAATGATCTGGCCTGCGACAGAGAGTCTGCTCACCCCTGAGCTAGGCTTATGTACAAGGCAAACGCTGCTTTCCATGCTTTGTCACTATTTGCACAGCCCTCCTGTGTGGTAGAGATGGTGATTGTTTATCAGTTGCTGTTGAATTGATAGGGAGGACTTTCATCAGAGAAATCTTTTGGTGGAATCTGAAAATTTCTCCATATCTATTTTGTCTCACAAATAAAGAGACTCAGTTCTGGCCAAGTACCTGTCAAATGACCAGCATTAGCTGAGGAGCCGGCCTGCTCACCTTCCCTCGAAAACCACGCTCGGGCCTTTCTTAAAGGTCTACACATTGCTCCCTTAAAACAGGCCTCTATCTTGACAAAAGTTGGCTAATTCTGATAGATTCCTTGCCTTTTAGATAGAGATAGATAATATTTTCTTACTTAATTACTGATACGACTTAAGTAAAGGGAAATAGATGGCTTTTCTTCTTTTCCATGCAATGTGATTTCTGTCCCATGTGTATATATCATGCTATAGGAAAGACTTCAGCTGAAACCCGAGTTCACCGTTCAGCATGGAAAAAGTCATTTTATAATTTGACAGCTTAGCTGGAGAGGAGCATTTTTTTCCATGTAGGCAAATACTGGAAATTATAGGAACTGCAGCTTTAAAAAATAATATTAACCACAGTTTCCAACAACTAAGTTCCTTTAGAAATGTTACATGGCAAATAGGGATGGAAAGGACTTGAAGGAATTGCTGGGTTAATTACTAGGAAAACCTCTATTCAGTGCGGCCCAGCTGTAGCGTCCTTTCAGACATATATTGTATAACCTCTCATGTTAACACACAGAAAGGAAATTTTAGATGCTGTGGGACCACAGTTACGAAGGAATTTTTTCAAAGGTCATCACAGGTACATTCTCTTTTGGAGGAAAGCTAAACTTTCAGGGAGCTCTAGTGGCCCAGTGGCAAGAAGCTGCACTTTAATCCCAGAGGTACGCAGTTCAAATCCACCAGATGCTCTGCTGCAGAAGGAGGGGCAATCTCCTCCTGTACTAGTCAGGTCCAATTTGACAGTGCACACACACACACACACACACACACACACACACACACACACACCATAATAAAATAAAACAAAAATTAAAAAAAAAGAAAGCTAAACTTTGGTCTGCAAATGGGTGTGAATAAAAATCAGAGTTTCTGGTTTACTTAGAATGACCTAGGCAGCCCAGATAGGCTCAGCACAAAGGAGAGAGAGATTTCTAGGGGAATCTGCTTCTGGGGCTTGCAGGTTTTATGAAGATGTGTCTGATGTCCAAATTTGGGGGCAGGGGGAGGTGCTAAATGACTATTCATAGGTCACATGGGATGGTGTAGAGAATGCAAGTGATTGGTCATTAATGGTTCTTCCAACCGGTTAGTATGTGGTACCGGGTATCTTTGTTCTTTCATTAGTTAATGGTTGTCCAGCGTGTTAGAGACCCAAACATGGGCTCAAGCAACTCTTGAGCTTTTGAAACAATTTATTCTGTAAAAAAAAACCTAGCAAGGCCGAATTTCAAAAAGCAAACACCTTTCACCCCTTGGACAATTGTTAAAGCAAAATGAGAAATTAATTTTCCTAGAAGAAATAGACATGACTGTAACATTCTTTTTTTCATATAAAGAACTAGTCTTATTTTTAATTTCAATGGAGTATAACAATGATATTATACATCCTGTTCTGTCAGCTAAGTTTCTGTACTCATTTAGGTGGGTGGTGGTCTCAATTTTAAATTTCACCCTCTTATATGGTGGCCTAGTGGCAAGAAGCTGCACTGCAATCCCAAAGGCATGTGGTTCAAGGCTACCAGCTGCTCTGCAGGAGAAGGATGAGCAATCTCCTCCCGTGCAATTAAATGCCTCTGAAAACTCACAGGAGGATCAGCTATGGGTCAGTTCTGACTCCATGGTACTCAATAACAACATGTTTCATATAGGCAATATAGTTAATTTATTGTCCAAGGGTAATGAGAGAAAGTATTAATACATTCTCTAGAATCAAGAGTCCCTGGGTAATGCAGTCAATTTACTTGGCTGCTAACTGAAAGGTGGCAGGCTCGAATCTACCCAGAAGTACCTATGAAGAACAGTCCGGTTATCTACTTCAGAAAACACCCGCCATTGCAAATCCTTTAGAGCACAGAGCTAGTCTTATACACAGGGACTTGTAATGAGTTGGAGTTAACTAGATAGCACTGAGCTCTGGATAGGCCAGCGTAAAAAGTTGCTCTGGCAAAAAGTACAACAATGAATGAAAGGAAATCCAAAATCTCTATAAATGTTCATTAAAATTAATAAAATAAAATTTAAAAAAAGAAGAAGAAGAAGTTGCACTGGCAACCCAAAGGTCTGGGATTCAAATCCACCAGCTGCTCCACAGGAGAAAGATGGGAAATTCCCTTTGTATGATTAACTGCCTCTGAAAACCTGGTGGAGAGTCAGGTAAAATATCCAACTCGATGACAAATAGCAACAACACAGAGCAACTGGACAACTGGAGTTCTCTGTCTATAGATGTAAACTACAAATGTCCTGGTAAACCAATATGCATGATATTACCACCTTAACTATAAGGCAGGTTAATCTTTTTTTGCCTCCAATCTGGGATAAAAAAAAATAAAGAATTTAAAGAGAACAAAAATTAATATTTCCATTGCCATGATGGCAAACATATAGCAACATATACTAACTGAGACAAAAATGTTTTTGACCAAAATTAGAAAACATACTGTTTCCACAGCTTGTTAATCAAGTATAGCATGGGGCCATGTGCATAGCTTTTACACTCTCAGGGAAGAAAACAAAAATTACTAAAAATACAGCATAAGCTGTCCGGGTGTTAAATAACTATATTCTTTAATCACAAGATCACAGTGGGGGGATGTGAGGTGACAAACAATCAATGTTCTTAACAGAGACATACACTGGAGTCTAAAAATGGAGCTGCATACAATATTCTAAAAGCTCATCAAACAGAAACACCATCATGCCAGCAAGGAGCACTGGTCCTTCACACTCCTGAGAGTCATGCCTGCAAATGCTTCCATGTTTCACAAAATGAACCATCTGCTGTGTGAATTCCTCTGAACATGCTTTCAAACTGAGTCTGGGGCCTGCTTTTCCCTTTCCCAAGTCTCGTTCTCTTTTCATGTTGACTTCTCCAGGGCTATTGTGAATGCTGTATTCACAGGCACTCTCCTTTCTCAATTAACAGGGACATCCTGAAGAGCAGGGAACTGGGAAGGGTTTTAATGAAATGATGTCAGTGTTGACAGCCAAGGAGGTGAATGTTTTATTTTAAAGCCTCCCATAGAAACCAGCAAGGACAAGGACCTCTAATTGAGGTCTTTAATGATCAGTTCTTAACTTCTGAATGTGAGCATCTTGGCTTCACTTTGAAGCTCCAGCTCCTTTTCTGCTGAGATCTTTATACTGGGTGATTGCTTTGTCTAGCCCAGTCCAATTACAGAGGGTTTTGCACATCACTTCTAGAACTGCTCTGAGAAAAAAAAAGTGCCACATTTTTTGGATAGAATAGTCCCGAGTCAAAAATGTGAAAGAACGTATAAAATGTCTACATCCAATATCCATAATTTCCTAATAGCCTTTAATGTTACTTTAGAGTAGTACTTTTATACTTGTGAGCATTAAAAAAGTTTGCATTTAAAAATTATATTTACTATTTAAATATTTTAAAGTTCAACAATATAAGTACTCAAATCTAACTGGCACTGAGTCAATTTCAACTGATAACGACCCTATTTCCACAGAAAACCTGTCCTGTAGACTTCCTGAAGCAGTAAATCTTTATGGACAGAGTTTGTTTCATCCTTCCCCCAGAGGTGCCAGTAGGTTCAAACTGCTGACTTTGAGGTTAGCAGCTAAGAGCTGAAACATCATCATGGCTCTTCAACAATGCCAGTGGCTACACCATATGCTTAAATTTTAAACAAGTCTCAAATCTTTTGTTCATAGGGTTACTATGAGATGTACTCAACTTGACAGCACCTAACAGCAACAATAACAAGCTTCAGAAGAACATACACATATAAAACATAGTATATATGTGACAGAAGTCTTACATAGTACGATAATTATTTAATATAGTGAATAACGCATCTATGAATCTTTTTTAAAAGACTAAGACTATATACATTCAAATGATTTTTAGTGGTGATTTTGAGTAGGCAAAGGTTATACTGATGACAGAAACTTTTCATAGCATGTATTTCTGAGTTTAAATTTTTCTAAAGCACATATGATATACTACTACAAAATGGAGAGAAAATGTAAGTTACATGGCAAATCTAATTTTTACCAGTTTACATTCATAGTAATATTGTTAGTTACATTGAGCAAGTCTCTGCTTTATACTCAGCTGTCCTCCCTAGGGGCTAATATGAAGTGGACATGAAATAATTGTGGAATTGTAAACAAAAATAAAATACACGGATCATCACCCGTGATTGATATCCTAAAGTATCTATTTACACTGGGCTTACAAATGCTGCTGGCCAGCTAGTTCATTCTGGTTCACACAATTTAGTCTTTTCCTATAAAAACGGAAATGGTTTGTATACACGAGGCCCTGTTCCTACTTGCAAACAGAGCAGCTCTCTTTTCTGTCTTTACCACTCTGCACTGCACTGGTGCTAAGTCCTGATGCGCGGTGACCCACATACAACAGAACGAAGCAGCACCTGGCCCTGTGACAGGCTCACATTTAAAGGTTCTGCTTTTTCCTGTCACTGTGTCAATCAGCCAACATCAGTGGGGGCTCTTAAAAATGACTGGTGTATTAAACAGTTTAAAAAGTTTCCTTGTTCTAGGAAGACTTCTTGGGTGCTCCAGGCATTAAATGCCCTATGGTATTTTTGAGGACACTCAAAACTATTTTTTTCTTCAAAACTATATTTCTTTCTTGTGTATTATTTTTCATTTTATTACAATTTATACATCTTATACACAAGATTGGATAGCAGTCCTCATAGTGAGAACTGACATTCTTTATAGATTTGTAAGTAGCCCCTGCCCCAACAAACACATAGATATTTGCGTGTATGTGTGTGTGTGCGCGTGCGCGCGTGTGTGTAGGAAGAAACCATGGACTTCATTTGAACATGAGTCCTTGTTGGGTTAGCAGAGACACTGTCACACAGTGCAAACTATCTTTTCAGGAGACACACAACCTGCAGTTTCAGCCTGGAGCTTGGGGCTAGGAGGGGTGTGAGGTGTATGTAAGAACTTCTCAGTGTTTCAGTATCCAGCAGAAGAAGGTTGCATACAATCTGGATTTAAAAAGACCTAATTTCATTGTTTTCTTGTGAAATTCTGTTCACTCTACGAACATGCTGTCAGACTGAGAGAGAGGAGCAGGAGTGAGGTAAGGCTGAGTTCAAATAATGGAAAACGGTCCACATAAACCATCAACTGTTGGGGAGGCAAAACTTTCAGCCATAAAGGACCAGAGGGAGGGAAATAGTTATTCAGAGGACATTCTCCCGGGGATAAAGTTTGAGTAGTTTTGCTCTAAGCAGTTGTTGTAGTTCATCCCTTCTTTAACTTGCAAAGTGCTCTTTATCTGTTTCCAGCTAAAGGATCCCCTTGGGGAGTTTTTCCTCGTCATAAAGGCAACCTCTCTGCTCTCTTCTCTTCAGGCTCCTAGCTGGCTCTCCAGCGGATATCTGAAGGCTGGAAATCACACCAGGGGACAGTGTCCTCCTTTCTCCTTGGTGGCTGCTGGTGGATTGAAACTGCCAAAAAGGCATGGACTTCAGGTTAGCGGTGCAAAAATCCTCCTTCTGTTGTGCTGCCAACTCAAAGGTTAAGGGTTCAAATCCACCTACTGCTTTCAGGGCTATCTCTTCGCCTGCAATGTATAGCCTCTGAAAACTTGCTGGAGGCTCAGCTCTGAGTCTTTTCTCAGCTCCATAACACATAACAACAACAAAATACCATCTCGGTAACAACAGCAGTAAATTCAAGGACTTACTCGGGTCTGTTGCACTCTCGGACAGCTGTTTTGATGCCCCCTCCACATGTTCTTGAGCAGGTTCCGAAGTGACTCCAACTGCCCCAGGATCCGTCAGTCACGGGGACCTCCATTTCTTTGGGAACACAAAATCCAAACTTGCAGTGCTGTATTTAATAAGGGGAAGAGTGAGGGAGAGCTTGGTGCTGCAGATTCATCATCTACATGAATAATGTAAGTTGTGGGGGTTTTCAGCTCACACGTACTGGTTTTATGCTGTGTTCTAATAGGCGGCGTTTCAGTAAACAAGCCAACTCTGCCTCTAGACTGGCGAGGTAATGCCACTGGCCAGTCTGGAACTGACAAATGTAAGGGAGAATGAGGGATGGGGGCAGGCTGACTGGTGACAGCTATGATCCAATGAGTTATCACTGGATTTTCACAGTGAATCTCCAATAACATGGAAAACAGAGACAGGATAGCCTGGTAAAACAGATGCTTTTCTGCTCTCAAAGGATCTGAAACTCCAACTTTGATAGGCGGGAGAGGAGAGACAAAAAGAGAATGAGAGTACGGGAGGAAAGCAGAGAGAGACGCTACTTATTAGATTCCTATAAAGTCACTCTAAGAAACCATATAAAGTCCCTCTAAGAAATCACAAAGGCTGAGGGCTAAAGGATGATGGCATTACTGACAGCCCTAAACTTTATAGCTTTTTTTGTTACTACTGGTTTCAGATTCACTGGCCCAGAGCAGGAAGAAGGCCATGATGTTTAAAAAATAAAACTCCTCAGCAGGAATGAGGGAGTGGGGAAGCCATTTCAACCCTCTGCCATTGTTGGGGCATGAGGTGCTGACACAAAACTGAGGTCACAGAACAGTGGACAAAGGGAGAGGTAGCGGCAGTGGCTGCAGAAGGGGGACCTAGGCGGTGTGCTCAGATCTCTGAAGCGGTACCGGGCCTCAGCTGCCACAGTCCCCACAGCCCACAGTCCCCACACAGTACCGGGCCTCAGCTGCCACAGCGCCATAGCTATAAAGCCCATGTAACTTATGGTCCCCAAGCAGTACTGGGCCTCAGCTGCAACACTGCTATACCACCCAGTCCCTGCAGCCCACACTCTCTCTCCGCAGCCACACTCCCCACAGCCCACATAGCTGGCATGGCCCATACAAGCCCACATAGCTGGCATGGCTCAAACAGCTGCTGAGGAAGTACCGGGGTCGGGGTGGAGTGATAGTAGGAAGGATCTGGGCAAGTCAGGACTGTGCACAGGCCAGGGTGGGGTAGTTCAGGGGAAAGTGGAAAAATATGAGGCAGGTGAAAGTCAACCTTGGCCCAGGAGGACCCACGAGAGTCTTGGTGAACAATTATTTAGAGGGTGCAATTAATCTTTCCCTTTTCTGCGGGGCCTGTAATTATGCTCTTACAGTATCCAAAGGCACGTCAGTTTCCCTGGGCTGTTTGGCTGAGGCTTAAATGATTCTACATCCAAAACCCTAGCAGCTCAGTACCCAGAAAATTTGGGCAGAGGTTAATGTGATTACAAATCTCCCTAGAAATCATTTATGGTTCTTTTTAGAGTAGCCTTGAATCGTTTTTAGAATATAAATAAAAATACATAAAAATAAATACAGAGAGAGGAAACTTTCCAAGGTGGTCTAGACTGATGGCCATTATCCACTAACTATATGTAGCTTACAATTTTCTCGGATTCATATTTAAAAGTGACAATAAAAGCAATTTAGTAACATTTTATTTTGCCCAATCTATCTAAAGCACTGTTAATTTAACATGCAATCAACAGGCAAAGTTATGAGTGAGAATGTTTACACTTTTAAAAAATATAAAGTCTTTAAAATCTGGCGTGTGTTTCACACTTGTTGAACATCGCAGAACTTCAAGTCCTCAGCGGACAGGACAGGTCTGGATGAGCAAAGCTTTTCACGTAAATAGGTCTGGGCTTGAATCCTGGCTCCTCCTCATGCTAACTCTCTGTTGTTGTTGACTGCTGTCAATGAAAGTACGACTCACAGCGACTCTAAAAACAAAAGGCCTGAAGCCGTTCCATAACTATTGTCATTTATCAAAGTTCACAGAGTTTCCAGAGGCAGGTTGTTTTGGAAGTGGATGCCACGCCTGCTGTAACTCTGTGACTGTGGGGCAAACTCCTGAGTTTTGTTTCCACAGCTGTAAAATGGGACGCTACCTGTCAACTCTGTCTAGAGTCTCATATGAGAGAACACATCTTAAGCATGTAGGGCACAGTTAAGGACACAGGGAGCTCAAATTAAATAGCAATTATAATGATAATGACAAACATGTTTATAGCTCTTACTCTATGTCAGCAAATGCTCGAAGCATTTAAAAATATATTAATTTACTTTTATCTGGGAAGACAAACTATGCAAGTAACCTTTGTTAATCCTCTGGTGGCTCAGTGGCAAGAAGCTGTGGTGCAATGCCAAAGGCACATGGTTCAAAGCCACCAGCTGACGTGTGCAAGAAGGATGGGCAATCTCCTCCTCTGTGATTACTGCCTCTGAAAACCTGCCAGATGGTGAGGTATGGGTCAGTTCCGACTCTATGGCACACACAACAACAATCCCATTTCTATAGAAGAGAAGATACACTAGGGGCTGATCCCATATATCTGTAAACACTGAGGGGGGGAAACACAGCTGGTCTGACTCAAGAATTATTTTTTTAATTGTCTTCACCCAATTTAACTATTTTTTCATTTTGTTCCCCTCACCCTCCCTTCTCATCCCTATGAAGTCTTAAACTTTACACATGCTGCCTTTCTGTTGTAACTGGGGACACATTTTAACATCAATATAGAGACTGAACCTTAAAAAACAAAAGAGAGATGAACGAGATGGTGAAAAGAGGTTGAGATTTTCAATTGCCCACCTAGTACTTATTCTCTATACTTAGTAACAGAATCTTTATTTTCCTAGTTTCCCCTACAGGTAAGTGTGGTCAAAGAGATGACAGCAGAATCATTGGGTGGGATTTCTGGCAAGGCTCTTTTGGTCCTTTAACCCTTGCCTTTTGGCTTCATCCTGCCTTGGACTCAGGCTTAATGGCTCCATCAGCCATTTGTGACTTTGAAGACCAAAGGACACTTTGATAAGACAGTAAAAAGGATAGAAACGAAGAACTTGAATCTCTGATGACTTTGTGGAGCTTCCATAAAAGCCCTCACTGTCTCTGGACGTGTGTGTGTGTGTGTGTGTGTGTGTGAGAGAGAGAGAGAGAGAGAGAGAGAGAGAGAGAGAGAGAGAGAGAGGAAGAGAAAGAGAGAGAAGGAATTAAAAGACTGCTATAGCAGAATGTTTCCTGAACCAAATTCCTAAAAATATACATTTGGGGTCACCATTGAGGCACAAATTCAGCCCTTTAATCTTGCAGGTGGTTAGATACACATTTTAAGCATTTGACAAAGTAAGAATAAAATTCCTATGCCTATTCAAGTATTTTAATAATAAGATGTTGTCTGGAAAGGTCACTCTTTCCTCCTCTTGACACTCCAAAATTCAGTCTCTTGATGTCTCTATTCTTAAGCGTTTACCTCCACACATGAGCAAATTCCAAAGCAACTATAACTCTCAATAAGCATGACCATAAATCTCAGAACAAAATAAGGATATGGGTGTATCACAGTGCAACAACTCACACTTCCCTGAAAGATCTTAAACAATCCTTTTAAAAAAATAAAGACTACTAATTAAAACATCATCTGCAAATCAAGCTTTTCTTACTATGTGATCATTGACAAGTATCCAAAAAGACGGAAAGCTCTCAGAGGAGTAAGGAGAGTTTAATGGCAGAGGCTGCAAACATGTGCCAAGTTAATTTCTTTTACTAGACAAACTAGACCAACTGTAATTACATACTGGAATAGCCATTACATCAGAACAAAGCATTAAGTGGATGGAGACACCAGAGCCAAAATCTAGTCAATCTTCCTAAAGGGTGTTCAAAGCCATTTAAAGGATATTTGCATAAATGCATCTGTTTTTAAGGGGCTAGAAGGGAAACCTGCCATTTTTGCCCTGTTGTTATTGTTGTTGTTATGTGCTGTCAAATCACCTACGATTCATAGCAACCCTATCTACAACAGTCCTAAACCCTGCTCTATCCTGTGCCAATCTGTCTCTGATACACCTACCCCGATTACTCCAGCCACTAATCAGTTCATCTTGTAGAGGGTCTTCCTCTCCTGCGCTGTCCCTCTACCCTCCCAAGCATGATGTTCCTCTCTAAGGACTGATTCCTCCTTGCAATATGTCCAAAGTATGTCAGATGAAGCCCCAGAATCCTTGCCTCTAAGGAGTAGCCTGGTTTAACCCTCTCTAGGATGAATCTGTTTGTTTTCTTGACAGTCCATGGTACATTCAATATTCTTCTCCAGCACCACAGCTCAAAGGCATCAATTCTCCTTCTATCCTCCCTAGCCATTGTCCAACTCTCTGATGCATAACAAGTGATTGCAAAGACCATGGCCTGTATCAGGCACACCTTAGTCTCAAAACACATTGTTGCACTTCAATACTTAAGTGAGGTCTCTTTAACTGCAGATTTTCCCATCGCAATACATCTTTTAATTTCCCGGCTGCTGGTGTCAAGGGTGTTGATTGTGGAGCCAAGCAAGTAAACTAAAACTATGAACAATCTCCATCTCTTCAAATCTACCGTGATGCTGCCAATCAGCCCTGTGGTAAAACTCTTTGTTTTCTTGATACTGAGCCTCAATCCATATTGAAGGCTGCAGTCCCTGACCTTCCACAGCAAGCGCTTCAGGTCCTCTTCAGTTTCAGCAAGCAAGGTTGTGTCATCTGCGTAACACAGACTGTTGATGAGTCTTCTTTCAATCCTGATGGCACATTTCTCCTCATAGAGCCCAGTCTCCTCGATAATCTGTTCTGAATATAGATGGATAAGGTTTGGAGATAGGACAATCCCTGGCATACACCCTTCCCAATTTGAACCATGCAGTGTTTCCTTGCTCTGTTCTGACGACTGCCTCTTGGTCCAAGTATAGGTTTTGTATTAGCACTATCAAGTGTTCTGGGATTCCCATTCATCTCAGAGTCAGCCACAGTTTGTTGTGATCCACGCAGTCAAACACCTTTGCATAAAAAATTTCAGACTTCACTCAGA